ATAGATAGATAGATAGATAGATAGATAGATAGATAGATAGATAGATAATATATTTGATTTGTTTATGTATTAATTTTCTATTTTTCATCTGAGGAAAAATGATGCACTCCATACAAATTATGAACTCTTTTCAGTGTCAATTTTACACCTGTGACTGAACCGATATTTGTATTTAAAGAACTACATGGGCAAAATCAACAGACCATGACAGACAACTCACAAAGGACGAAGGAGACCAGGCTTATTCCAGAAATTCCGAATCCAGTTAGAAACCTCATGGCTGCGAACATGGGAAAATTATACGAGAAAGCGGTCGCGAAACCACAAAGGGTGGTGATGACATAGGACACAAGAAGCGTTCTTTTGCGACCGAACCTGTGAAACACAAAGATTGAGGCCATTACTGGAAAAAAATGGGAATTGTATGTATTTTGAAAAATATGTTAGAAAAACCTCCAGTGACATATGGTTGCAGCACCCAAAACGGGAAAAAATTGACTGTGTAAGCGGGCACCTAATTTATTGTAAAATTCAGGGGACATCTCTAGTGGAGACACTTTGCTCTGCTTCTGCCTTTTGTATTTAGCTGACTGCTAACAGGTACTCTTCCTGCATGATGAAGGCTTTCTTAGAATGCTTTACCTACAATAAATAAATTATTTCTGACTTTCTTATGCAGAATTTTTCCTGTGCAGGAAAGTTTCTGACTTTAACACTAACAAGCTGTTAAGACATTTTTTTCACAAAACAAAGACCGGCACAACACAGCAAGGCACAGGTTTCAGCCCCAAGCAAAAACAAGAAGATACATGACTTGAAATTGGGATGACTGTTCTCAATGACAGATGCAGTAAAGTTGTAGAAAGATAAATGGGCATCTGATTTGAGTGGAAAAGAAATAAAAACCTGTCACTGAGATATCCAAAAACTGCTGCTCCAATCATGACCCCTATGAAGAAGATGGTGGCTGTAGCTCTGTTCACACTTTTCTTATCACAAACCAGATCCCACTGTTGAGAAACAAATATAACAGAAAAATGAGAGAACATGCCGCTGATTCAGTATTGGGATCGTCTCTGTACGGACAACTCACCTCTGTGGCCAGAGTGGACTTAAAGGTGGTGTTGTCGTACACCCAGCCACTCTGGCAAGGCATTGTGGGAAGGTCATTCATTTTGGAAGCATTCAGCAACAGATGATACTGAGGCTCTACAAACATCTGACAGGAGTCTGGACTCCCATCTGGCTGAAAAGGTATACTGACAATGAGCTGCTCTTCCTGGGATAAATTCCCAAAAAATCCACCATCGTCCAGAGGGCTGAGGTTGCAGTGGTGAGAGGGAATGACGCCAATGAAGTTATTCAGAAGAAAGTTGAATGGCAAAGTTATGCGAGCAGTTACCAACAAAAAGACTGTCCTTATTTGGAATCTCCCAAAGCCATTGACCTCTGCCAGGACATCGTCAAACTTCATTTTGCTGGATAATGATGCAACAGCTCAGAGTGACAGAAAACAGCATAAAACAGACCAGATTCCCGACGCAGGCCCTTTTTCTTTGGGCCTGACGCTGTTGGTTAATGGTCAGTGATTGTTAGAAAATCAATGAACACTTTTTTTTCAATAAATAACTTCCAAAGACAGACGTCCCTTTATTTTTGGCATTTGTCTATTCACTTTTTTGACACTAATCTTTTCTGTGGCATCAGGAAAAAATAACAAGGTGCATCTGTATTTCATGTTTTTAAGTTAACCTAAGTCATCCTATTTAAATTCTGGTTGAACTGAATGTTTGGTTCATTTTCCTTTAGTAACACTTGGCTCAATCTGAATAAGTTATGACATGATCACAGAAATGACAAAGCTCTCTGCAAATTGGTGACACTTGCCCTATTCCTTTAAGTGTTATCGGTTGGCTTTGGATGTTTTTTAAGGCAGTTGTATGTCTTTCAATGCAATGATCCCTCCCACTGCAGCAGTCTTATTCCTCATTCATTTTTTCAGGTTCATTGTAGTCAGTCTTACTAAAAAGTATGCATCTCAAAACATCTTTTCTGATCAAATCATATTTGAAATATACTAAAAATCACTAACTTAAACTCTTTAATTTTAATATCTTTTTTATGCTGCTAAATCTTTGACATTAACATCTACATGTATAGTTTATACTGCTTTGGTAATATGCTTTGAATTCTCTCTTATCGGGCCTATCTTTCACAACATATTTACCATTGTGTGGTTCAGCTGTTGCATGAGTAGTGTGTCAGTGTTAGTGTGGAGACGCCAGTCTCTTCATTCATTGCTTATTCTTTACAGCATCTCTGTTATAACCATGTCCTTGATGATGAAATGTCCCTTTTGTCCAACACCATCAAAACTCTCAAAACAAATAAAAAAAACCCTCACAGTGTTTTTCATGGTCAGACACATTTATTGGGAACTTTAACAACGCTGAAGTTTGACAACAATTCTTGTTTTCTTGCTGTGTCCAGCTGAATCTATGAAAGCAGACAGTCTTTGGGTTGGATTGATTTCTACTGAATCTCCTTCCTCATGGTTTGCCTCCTGCAATACAGAAAACCTTTCTGTCAGTCACTTGATCATGCATGGATGAGTCCAAGACAAAACTTGTATAACTTGCTTCTCATTTTTGGCAAATGCAAATGATTAAAACATGTCAATTATTTAGGAAAAAATTACGTACACCACGTACCACAAACCCCTTTGGCCTGCGTTATTCTTTAGCCAGTAAGGTCAGTTAGACCTGAATACTTTACTGTACATTTAATATTTGATCTCATACCTGGTTCTTTTGAAACATCTCTTCTTTTTTTTTCCAGGTCTTCAATAAACTCTGGTAGTTGAGTGTTTAATGTTTCAGGAAGGAGTGAAGCAAGTAAACCAGAACCGACTGCCACTGCACAGTACGTGGCCGCGGGGAGGAGATGCCACACATCATCCAACAGCATGACGAGCGGGGATATGGACACGCCCAGTCGTGCCATGAACGAGGTGTAGCCTAAACCGTTTTGTCTGGGAAAGCAAAGAGAAACCTTTTGTGCAAATTCTCACAAGATCATGCTTAATTTTTTCTCAGTGCTTACACCATTTACGTATGTTACTTCTTGACTAACCTCACAACTGTTGGATATAGTTCAGTGGTATAGAGAAACATTATTGTGAATGAGGCCTCTGACATGGATTTTCCAATGACTGCCACAACGGTACGAATGACCACATGATCTGCAGGGAAAAATGGTTTAAAAATAGACAAGGATAAGATTAACCATAAAGAGTGTGGAATGCAAGTTAAATGATTTGAGACAGGTGAAGAGACCTATTGACACAAATATGTTGATGAAGAGGCAGACACCAGTGGACAGTAAGGCTGCCATCTCACAGTGCCTTCTGCCAAGTTTCTCCAAGCAGAAATAGACACCAATCTTCATGGGCATTTCAATGGATGCAAATATAAACTGTGTAAGGTATGGGTTCAGTCCAAACCCTGTGATATTCAGACTTATTCCATAATATGTAAATGCAACTCCATACCTATGAAATAAAAGAATAAAAGAGATTAAATGAAAATCAAATGAAAGATTGTCCAATTTAAACTTTGCTTGAATAAGTAGTTGAACTACTTGTATCCTTTCTAAAGTTATGCTCTCAGATATCATGTCAGTATACTGAATACACATATATGGAGGAAATTATACTTTTTGTTTTACATACAGTCAACAAGTAGTTAAATCAATTCAGTTCCATTTTTAATTTTAGTTTAAAAGAAAATAACAAATCTCTGAAAAAGTTTTAAAATGAAAACAAATCTAAATAAACAAAGCGTAATCATCATAATGAATTAAAAATCTAAGTGGCCCAAGATTAAATAAATGAAGAAATTTGTAAGATAAACAAAGAGCTAACATCTGCCTCCACATATAATGACATCATCACGTTTAGGAACAAACATGACAACTTTCTGAAGAAATTGGTCCTGAAAATGATTCACATTGGTAGCCTAGTTTAGACCTGGTAGAGTAAAGATTTACAAACAACAACTCATTTTTCATTGGAGCTTTGACTTGTTGATGTCTGAAATATCAGCTATTTACCATTTTTTTATTGGTTATTTACTGTCACTGTTAGATATCTTATTTTTCCAACTTGATGGCATATTGTGTTGTATCAAAACTACTAACACTTTTTATGGGAAAGTCCATACTCCATGAAATCCTGATTGCTAAAAAAGTATGGGTTAGGATTAGACTTACAAATGAGTGGAGTTTGGCCCCTTGGCTCATTTAAAGACAGAGCCATGCTGAAATCAGGTATTATGTTATTGTCTATAATGAACTGACTGAAGTATATGAATAGTATCTGTAATTTCATTTTATCTTTGGAATGAAAATAAAGCTGTGTTTCAGAAAGTGCTATACAACCCATTAACCCAGTGCAATAAACTCCCACTTACCAAACAATTCCTGAGCATATTGCAAGTTTTCTAATATTTGGAGATCTAAAAAGATCTAAGACAGTGTACTTCTTATTTCCAGTTTGAACTTCTGCAGATTCCAGTAAAGTCTATGTAAAAGAACAGGGCACAATTACATTAGGTGAATATAACATTTTCCGTTTACACTTGTTAACACACTGGCAGTAAAGCTTTTACCCCTGGTGTGAGGGTGGAGATACATTTGGATCTGTTGTTCATCTTAGCGCATTGCACGATGTAATGATGAGCAGCTTCTGTTTTCCCTTTTGCCATGAGCCACCTTGCAGATTCTGGAAGCCACCTGAAATGATGGACGTGGTTAGATAAGCCCTTCTATAAGCTGTCTTCTTTTTTTTTTGTGAAAGTGATAAATGTTTACTTCCATACCGCCATGCAATAATGGCTAAAACCAGGGGAGAAGTCACAGCAAGAATGAGCATCCTCCACTCATTTACAAAGAAAGCAATGCCGGCCAACATCCAGTTCCCAAGAGTCCAATCCAGGCTTATGATTACGCCAGAGAAAGTCCTGCGTTCAATGCTGCACCACTCAACATCTGCAGGCAGGTTAATGTAAAATACATTAGACTCTTGAGCAGAAGAGAGAATAAATCAATAGATTCAGTATTAAAAACAAACAAAACATTGGTCTTCTTACTTAAGGCAATGGAGATAATACTTATTCCTGCAAGGGACATCCCGGTAAAAAATCTCATGATGATGAACATGACATAGGACATGGAAAACGCACTCAGAACTGCAAACGTCAAGGAGGATAGATATGAGAGAAGCAGCACTGGCCTTCGCCCAAACCTGAAAAGAATCAACTCGAAGTCAAAAACTTGTTCAAAAGTACCAATAAAAATCTGACACATATATTCATAACGCATGGAAAGAAAATTCTGGGTAAACTCTATATTTCAGATTACTGCCTTAAGTCCTAAAAATGAATTTGTTTCTCCCTCTCCAGTTGAATGCATACCTGCATACTCTGTTAACTAAAGCACTTTATCAGAGTTGTAGTGCACTGTGAAACAAGAAAAGAAAACAAATCTATTTTACATATCTATACCTGATATAAACACGTCAGAAAACTGTTGAAAACCTTACCTGTCACTGAGAAACCCAAACAGTGGGGCTCCAATCATGACACCAATGAAAAAAATGGTAGCTGTTGCTTTGTTCATCCCTTTCCTGTGACACACCAGATCCCACTGCAAAGCAAGCATTTCTGTAAATATATCTGTTTTTAAAGTAGACCGGGGAGGAAACAGAAATCAAATGCGTTCCATGTAAATGAAAAAGGATTCACTTTATAGATTTTTATAACTCTTACCTCCGTTACCAAAGTAGATTTAAATGTCCTATTGTCATAGCTCCATCCATTTTGACACTTAACAGGAAAAGCTTCCTCACTACTGTTTGATCCTGGCAAGTACTGATACTGTGGTTTTGCAAACATCGTACAGGAGCTCAGAGTTCCGTCACGCTCAGCCGGAATACTGACTGCCAGTTTCTCTCCATCTGTCAAGTTTCCGAACACACCTCCATCCTCCAGGGAGCTGATGTCGCAGTGGTGAGATGGAACGGCTGCCATGAAGTTGTTCAGCAGGAAATGACATGGCAGAGTAATTCTTGATAACATCTGAATTAAGAATAAGGTAATTTGGAATTTTCCAAATCCATTGATTTCAGAAAGTATGCTGTCAAATTTCATCTTGCTGCTTGTCACAAGCTGACAGGAAGCTAAATGTCATGAAATGGAGAAGAAGTAAAAGGAACTCAGAGTCAAAATGACACATTCACCAGTGTTAATCATTATAGGTACTCACATAAATATTCATCAATTTTCAGCATTTCATCCAAAACAATGCAAATGCATTGCTCTTTATCTATGTTGGACTTAATCGATAGTATCAATAATTCATCAATCATCTGTGTCTAGAATTTGATTTCTATGAGAGCATCCTAGTCAATATAGCAGCAGGAAACTTAGAAAGGCTAAATACATATTACAAAAACAGCCACATAAGCCACACAGAAGTTAGCACTGCAACAGCAAATAATGAGTCTGCAAGATAGTTGTTTATGGCATAAACACTTTCAGTAACCATAATTGGGCAATTTAATCGGTATTTATTCGTCAAAAACATGCCTTCCTTGGGTGAAAAGTTTTTTTTTTTTTTTCTACACCTCAATTAGATTCAGGTAGCTTGGATGTTGCCCTCTTTGGTTAGAGTCCACTGATGCCACTTATTTGCAGGGTCCACTTAAGCGTTGGACTTCTCCAAACTAGCGTTGCCCAGATTTAGCAGGATGGCACAGGGTTGACCCTTGGACCTAGATATATTATTTTTTAAGTAAAAGTGAGGAAAAAAGAGTAGGTACTATGCAGGTTAGGTGTACTTTAAAGACATGTGAAAAGTTCAGCTAATGGAAGAGAAATGATCCAAGGTAACTTTATGGAGTTGGCCCAGACAAGAATTCCAATGAGAATCTTGAAGTTTAGACATGATGGAAAGAAATGAAAAGAAGAAAAGGGAGTTTCAAAAAAGAACTTTTTAAATGAATCATCTCTGTTGGTGCTAACTGAGCTATGTTCGAATTCTACCTTTTATTTTTGGGAGGGAGGGGTCTGCAGCACAGAAATAGGATATCAGGGAGCAGACTCCATTACCATGCAGATTGGTTCTATGAACACCGACCATTCAAAGCATCTTCTATTTCTTTGTTGTCAGGCTGTGAAGCACCGGGGACTGTTACTGTAAGTAGTGTTTGCTTGTTAAAAATGTATTTGGTGCTTCTAAAACCTATAAGTAATCTCATGATTTTATCTAGTTGAAGATAATCCACATCTTGGTGTTTATCAATTCTTTTGGATGTTTTTTTTGTTATTTTGGATTCTATTTGATTTGTATGAAACAAGATTTACTGCTTATCTTGTAAAATATGTGTTTTGTATTTTGTTCTTTCATTTGACTTATATATATTACAGGATCAATATATATTTTACACAATAATGTTTTTGAGAACATCTAGATAAGTACGAATGTCCAGTTTTTTTGGGTCCATCTCAAAACAAGCCTTGAAACAAGTTTCTTAGAATACTTTAAAATATTCTATAGTTGTTTTAAGGTCTCTGACTGCCTTGGTTATTATTTTAATGTATAACTCTAAGTATCAGACAGTCTCATCATTTAATCACAAGGATTTACTTAATTTGCTCGAGCTCAGTCTTCGTGAGGGTCAGCCCTCAGACCAAGAGTTCACTCATTAGTCCAGGATTCTAAATCCCTGTTTCCATGGAAAGGAATCATCATACTGAAGTTGCAACCATACTAGGAGAAAGAAAGTGTACGTGCCCCAAAGTCTGATATGACGTTTGTCAAGTGTTAAACTGAAGTGGAACCAAGTGTGAAGAAAAGTCTTCAGGGCATAAAGCGTAAGTCTGAAACATGGTTAGGTTTTAAAAAGTTCTGACTTCTGACCATTCTAAATGTAGCTCAACAATTAAGGTGTCACAGCACATAATCTATCATTGTTTATCTGACTTTTCACCAAATGAGGTAGGTACAGTAGGTACACACTGTAGATATTGAGTTACGTCAGTTTTTGTATCATATTTTATCAAAAGGAATGAAAACTTGGACAAGGCCACAAATTATTGATACAAGTACCGGTATAGTCAGATTCGGTCTCGCCTTACAATACTTCTGTGGCTTGATTAAATACTCCAGTAATGACAGCACAGGTCAGCAGCTCCAGCAGCACAACGATGGAGACATTTGGGATTGCTTGGGCTCATTGATAACTGTGCACCAACTCTGCGTTTTAATGACATACACAGACATTTATTCAACATAAAGAAGACAATGATTGCAATCAGACAAACAATAGTTGTCTTTTGCTTTCGCCATCTTTTCTCAATACATAGCCTGTAACCAAGAAATGCAGATCCAACTCTTAAAAAAGCTTGATGGAGAAGAAACACAGTCTTGCAAATTTAGTTTCCTAACTAAGAGAGGCCTGATCATGCACAGTTAAATTTACTGGTGCTGTCAGTGTGACTTTTTGGGTGGATCTTTAACAGATAAAAGCATAATTCACTCCTGACAAAAAGTTGATATATTTACAGGACATAGTAAAATCTTGTCCAGAACTTCAAAATCAAGCTTTGTTTTGGATATTTTGTGACCTTTTAATCATGAGAAATGCTTTGGTTCAAATGAATACATTTAATATGAATTGGCATTCCGCGGTGATGCAAATCACCACTCTCCACCATATTTCAATCATTTTGATGAATATAGTTCCACTTCATAAGATGACAAATCTAATAATGATCCCCCTGAAATTTCCAAGTGTCTTATCAAGAGTGCTTTTAATCTCCGTATGGCTGGATGATGATAATTTGACCTCAGTTTATGTTCCCTTTATGAAACAGGCTACATTTAGATAAATAAGTCACAAGGACAGATAACTTGAAAGTATTGTATTCAATAACAAAACAGGTGACTGCAAGTTTCCATGCTCTCCCCATTTATGTGTGATTTCCCTTTGGGTACGTTGGCATCCCTTCACACTAAATTGTCTGTAAGTGTGAATGTGCTTGATTGTCTGTCTTGTTCATCTCTCTGTGGCCCTGTGATGGACTGATGACCTGTCCAGGGCGCACACTGCCTCTCGCCCAATGAAAGCTGGGATAGGTTGCAGCCCCCACCCAAGCTGCCCTATTTGGAATAAATGGTATAGAAAATTGATGGATGGCAGCTGTAGAAAGCTAATTTAAGTTTTGCAGTGCTATGGCACCACCTTCTGGTAAAAAATAGAGAAATGTTTTGATTGTGTTTAGAAAAAGAAATAACTTTCATGTGATGTTAGGTCAGTAAGGTCTTTATTTCTATAACTAATATCACTTTTAAAAAAAAAAGTTCTAACACTGTATTTGTTATTCTATTCCAGAGATTAAAAGTGATGCATTTCCAGCAAAAACAAACTTTGAACTTCTTTGAATGGGGAGAAGCAGGATGTGTACAGCAATCAAGCATGTCAAATGACCGTCTTAAATGGACATGCGGACAGAAACTGTAGACCTGAAACTCATTGCATTGATGAGTGGGAGCAGTGCTGGGAAAATAACCTCACTGTGTAAACAGCCGTTCGGAAAAAAAACAGCCACCCCATTGTTTTGCTTATGCTCTTGGACGTGAATGCTGTTTCCCCCATGATATGACATACCATTCCATTTACAGCAATGGCAGCCCCAATGAGACTGCCAAAGTAAAGCTACAATTCCAACTAAGGATAGTAATAACTTGGTGACATGGTAGTCTCTAATGATGGGTAAAAATTCACAAAATACTCCCTTCGTCAAAGATTTAAAAAAGACACAAGAGACACAAGAGAATCCCTGTACAGTTCAGATGTTGTTTAGACCCATGTCAGTCTATGATGTAATTAACTCTGGTATGTTACACCGTCTTAAATGTATATAAAAATATCGATAATCGATACAGTATAATCTGCACAAAATGTGATAGGATTATGAGTTAGACTTATTTTTGTCTTACTTAAGGTATCCTTGGTGAATCACCACCATAGATGGAACCAGAAAGTGAAGATCCAGGCTGCAGTGATGACTTGTCCACCTGGACAGGTTCAGATGGTTCCCAGAAACTTTGTGTCCCCGAGTCTTTGGCAGAATCCTCAAATGATGATGATGACAACAGTAAGGAAGAGAACTCATTTGGCATGCAGACACTTCATATGCCCACGTGCCATTCTGAGTCCCAGGAGCGCTTTGAGTTACATGACTGGGCGTCTGCAAATAAACAAGAGTCCTCATCAGAACATATTGAGAGTAAAGCTACACTTTCATACCAAGAAAATGATGATATCAACCTTTGTGGATCAAGAGAATTAATCACGGAATCTCCTTATATCCATACCTCAAACACATCATTTTCCTCAGAGCCCCAAGATTCCAAGCCTCAGAGTGGCCAGATATCGTGGCAGCATTCCCAGTCTTCCTCCTCCTCTCTTGGCTCCACTACTGATGTGACCCAGGCCTTGACCCCGACCACAAAACGGTCCCAAGAAACCAGTAATAGGCATGGCCCAGGGACTGGGAACAGGAGGGTCGAATCTTCAGAGGAAGGAGGGAGTAGTGAAGCACCTCCTGCTTCTGTCTTCTTTGGAATTTCAGATGAGGGTGCTGAACAGGCAGAGAAGTGGAACTCGGGGTCTGACACAGATCTGTGCAGACCAGGCAGGAGCAGGGCAAGGTTCACACGTAAGTATCTATCCTCTATCCTCCTTTGATATTTCAAACTAGTAGCATGCAGAATGCACTGCATAGTGTTTGAATGATACTGTGTTATTGATTAACACACATTATTTTGTCTTGTGCTTGTTTTAACTGTAGCCACTAAGGCACAAAAAATTAAAATCAGGCAATGACATTTATAAACAAATTTCTTACTCTTTCTGTTGTGGATTAGTCACAAAACTCATGTTGGCTATACATTATGTATAACTCACGAATAACTTGAACGTTACACTGTGGCTGCAGCTATTTTGATTCTGTAACATGGGGGTCTATTTAAGGTGGACTTAGAGGGAGAATTCCCATGGCTTTATTAGTCTGACCAGGATAAGAATAAAATATGACCATATGACGAGGCTGGCAGTAGGAAATTTGACAGACACCAACATGTGTCCCCCTGGCCTGTCATCTGATCCCTTTTCCAATCGTAAGACTTCACGGCAACGGAAAGTGAGCTGCTCACTTTCCTTGGTGTATGGACCCCCCTCTGGGTTAGTTGTAAGTGAATATGATGCTTTTATTAGTGTGCTTGCATCAGCAGGGGGAACATAAAATTTATTTCACTTGTCATGCCTGCTATCAAATAATATCATTTAGGTCAAAATCTGTCCCCTAATTCTCTCATTGTGTAATAATCTGTTCCTCTTGAACCATAACTGACTAAAATATATCTAGATAAATATTGGTTTGTTAAAAGATAAATTCAGAGGTTTGTATGATTTCATATTTCCCTTCTGGTCTCCCTTTTTTTGTCTTTCCCTTTTGTCTCAGGAGTCAGTTACAGCGAGAGTCAATCAGAAAGACGCTTGAGGGAGACCAAGTCTAAATGTAAACGAATTGCAAAACTCCTGACTGATGCACCCAACCCTAGAAACAAGGGAGCCTTGCTGTTCAAAAAACGCTTCCAGAGGGTGAAGAAGTACACTCTTGTTAGTTACGGTACTGGTGTTGACAAGAGAGACCAAATAGAAGGGGAAAGTGGCAAAGTAAGATCAGCTGAGTATAACTTTGTGGCAACAAGTGATTCTGAGCCAGAGGAACCCTACTGCTTTTATCACCTGCACTATAATCTAAGTTTGGCCGGGGGAAGTGTTCAGGAAATGGAAGAGCTTCCAGAGACAAGAGGAAAAGGAGTTTTTATGTTTGCCCAAAGGCGCAAAAGAATGGATGAACTCGTCTCAGAGCATGAAGAACAAAGGAGTAAAGGACCACTTGAAGATGCTACAGTGGTGCCACAAAATGCAGGATCACAGAATGTTTATGACACAATGGAAATGCACAAACATCTGGAGGAGACCAGTTCTATGGATATAAATCTCATGAAACATTTAGAGTACCACGAAAATATTCAGCAGACGAACCACCTCTCTAACATGCCAAAACCCTTAGTGCCAAACAGAACTGCAAAACCTTTCAAAGGACTTCAAGTGGACTCAGCTCAGGTTCCCTCGCCTGGTAGTGTCAGTCCATCCCAAATGAAGCATGAACCGAGATTCAAAGTACCGGTGCCGACTAACACTAATCCAAAGGTTTGGTCTCCAACTGGAGACATCATAGCTTCTAGGGATGAGCGAATATCCGTGCCAGCCATTAAGACCGGCATTTTGCCGGAGTCAAAACGGAAAGGCAGTGGTAAACAGCTATCAACGATGATGCAAAACTCAGATCCACACAATCAAAACAAAGGGGAAAGGAGGTCCTATATTGAGTCAGAGGAGGACTTTTTCAGTCTGGGTGCTGAAGCTTGCAACTTCATGCAAACCAGAACAGTCAAACTCAAGAATCCCCCTCCAGTTGCCCCTAAACCCATCATCGACCCATCCTGCCCACCCTGGTTGAGGAGAAGTCCATCTAGCGAGCCCTTCGTTCCTCCAAGAAGTCCAGTAACACAGCTCTCTCACAGTCCGGTAGGGTCTCATGGTCAGCATTATTTACAGCAGCAAGACTTGGCTCAGTCTCAACAGATGGCCAGCCGTTGGGCACCAGATCAAACTCCGGCAACACTTCAAACACCTGCCAATGCTTGGGATCCGGTCAGCTCCCCTTCTCAGCTTCATCTTCAGGGAACCACAAATAGCTGGAGTCAAAAGCCAGCACAATCCCCAGTGAGTATACAAGCCCAAAGTCCTTCTTATGGCCATTATTCACCCCAACAAGATAAGTCAGAAAGTGTTCCAAACTCATCTGTCTCCTGCCCATCACAAGATGCAAAGTTATTTGTTCCCGTGTCAAAATCCTCACAGCTGTCTCCAAAGGGCCGAATTCCACACAAAGGTATAAAACAGGCTGGTGATGGTTCACCCATGGCCGGAAAAGGGGCGGAATTGTTTGCCAAAAGACAGTCTCGAATGGAGAAGTTTGTTGTTGATGCTGAAACAGTGCAAGCTAACAAAACAAGATCCCAATCCCCATCTTTGTCCCTTCCTAATTCTTGGAGGTATTCATCCAATATTCGTGCCCCACCTCCATTGTCATATAATCCTCTTCTTTCTCCGTTCTACCCCGCATCAACAGCCAAGCAACCCCCTTCCACGAGCCCCAAAATCAAGCCCAAGACCAAAGGGAAATCTAAATCGGCCCCAAAGCAACTCAACGCCTTAGATATCATGAAACATCAGCCCTATCAGTTGGATTCATCTCTGTTCAAGTATGACGCAGCCTCTGAGGAAAAAAGCCCTAGTCCAAAGCCAACTCCTGTCTCAAAGTTTGAAAAAGCCAAAAGCCTTAAACAAAAATCTGCCTCCTCTCATTTTCCTCACAACACTTCTGAGCCCACTGTTCAAAACAAGGCAGAGGCCCCTGCTAAGTTCTCTGGACCGGTAAGTCCCCAAAATTCCTCTGTCCAAAACACGAGATCAGCTGAGCTGCTTGCAAGTGACAAACGCTTGGATAAAAAGCCCGCTGTCACAACTGCAGCCCATCACATGAGCACCAAGCAACCACCGAGTGGCCGACCTGCAAGCACATCCTCCCAGCATTCATCTCTTGGTGACAACATAGCTTCAGCTTTCTCTCCTGCATCTCTTATTGCCCGAGGCGCACGTCAAATGGCTCCTCGGCCAAAATTTTCAGCTAAGAAACCAGTGGTGACAAGCAAACAGTGGAAGCCTGTTGCTATGCTTCATTCGATCTAACGCTGTACATGGTCATGCTTTGGTGTAGTCTGAGACGATAATTGCATCATTACGTCAGCGAACTTGGTGGCTTCTTACAAGTCTTAACAGGTGGAAATGTTTTGACTTTTGCACTAGGCCTCATGCAAAGGGGTTCATGTAGCTATGTAAAAATTGTGGGAAACTATATTTAAACTAATATTTAGTTCATTTGAATTTAAAACATATAGAGAGACAATTCCCCACAGAATGCAATCTCAGGACTCAACTTATAGAGAGGTGGCACATAAATTGCCTTTCATTGATGAACACATAAATAGTATTGAGTATTCCTTCATATTTAGATAATAATACATTATCTACCTGTGGATAAAAAAAAGGATACTATAATGGTAAATCATTCTCAGGATGTGCCTTCACATGTGCAATAATGTGTGCATTGAGGCTTGTTTAACTCATGCCTCTAGTCTTTTTTTGTTTTTAGGAAAAGTTTGCACGTACTCTTATATAGCGACAGCAGCTACAGACCCCCCCGGAACTCAGTTAAAACACAGCCAGTAATGTACTCTCTTATATTTCATTCAGTATTGTGATTATTCGGTTGTTTAGTGAAACAATAATTCACTTGAGTTGTCATATTCACTGAATAGTTGTAATAATTTGTTGTGTTCGGGGGGGAAGCCTGTCTATGCACTTATTGGTGCACCTACAGTTTTCATTTCCTTCAGTCTCATTCCAGACTTTGATGGCATCACAACAGGTAAAAGCATAAGTGTTGTGATCTTTAACCCTGTTGACTTCGAAAAGTTTCTCTTTTTTCAAACACGGACATATTTTCCTGCAGGCCTCCATTATGGCCAGTTATTAAACTGTATCTTCCGAAATACTGACTCAATTTAGAAAATCGAGATGACACCAGAAAAAAAAAACGTTCATGTTTGTCTACATGTCTTAGTCTTTACCACCCTTTACTGCATTTCTTGCACTGAGCACATCATGCTATTAAATCTCTTTTTCCTCCCACCTGTCTGCTTTCTTTCAGTGTTGAAACCTTTTCTTGGTCTGCTTGTTCACGTGTTCCTTCCTTCACCTTTGTCAGAATCTCATACAAAAATGCTATGAATTTATTTTACCAATAGAAACGTAGGATTATTATATCTATTTTACAGCACACCTTCAGCTCTGAATATGAACAGTTTATTATCTCTGCCCTTAAAGGATTTTCCTTTGGATCATTATAATAAATATCTGGTAGTCTCAGAGAAAAATACTCTAAAAGGCAGCACTTGTGTTTTGGTAGTGATTATTCTCATCTGACCCTCCCAATGTTATGAATTCCTTGTGTCATTTTCAGAATCTAATGCTTTGAGTGATGGCTAGACACAAAATCCATGGAATGATTTTTGTAATCATCGATTTATAGATTAATAGATATCTTATTTACAGATGTTAAGCAGATGATTTTTCGACTTCTGTGCAACTAAGGAGCTTGTGCTAAATCTTATACAGTAATCAAATTATTTGAAATGAAAATGATTGTCTAGCCATGAGTATTTTACTCTTAAAAATTACTGTGTTGATTCCTTTTCTATTTCTTCCTTTCAAAATGCTTAGTTTATTGTTGAGTACATAGTTATCGTGGATATTAGTGTAAAATCATAAAAAAAATTATAAGGTGCTTATAAGGTGCCTGGCACGAATTCATGATTTTTGCTACCATTCTTAAAAATACATTTTCTAATAATTGATTTAAAGGAAATCATTGACTAGTCAGTATCCTTCTGATATTACAATGAATGAAAATTAGTATGATAGATCTTCCCCAGACAACACCTAATCAGAAACAGATCATTTGTTCATTTCATTTGTTTATTTGTTCAAAATGTTTATTCATTATCATATAAAAGCAAAACAGTTTACCAAGATAGCCGTCCCATTATGTGACATTCACTAAAGCTGGCAGAGAAATAGTTCCAAGCTAAGTTTTTCAATCTTTTCAAATATATGTTCTACTGTACATTCAAGGTCTGAACTGGCAGCAGGTAAGTTTTAGACATTTCACGCCCCTTTGATTCGTTAACAAAAATTCACACCTTTTTCCCCATGACTGAATAATGAACCTTACGAAAATGTCTTTTTTTTATGAGACTGAAGTTAAAGTCGGTCCTCAAAATAACCAACAGGTCTGATGATGTTTGCAGGATAAAGAATTTGGAAGGATTGTTATTGAATCCTGTCTTTTCAAGGCGCGAGCTAGCAACTAAAATGAAAAATAAAACATTTGATCAGACAAAAAGTAGTGCATAAGCTTCTGATATACTCAGATGTCCGTTTATTTCATACACGAAGACAGAAAAAAGCCAGAGGATGGCAGCAAAGTCTGTAAGGCTAAGTAAATAAAGTGAACTTTTTTTTCAGGTGTTCAGCAGAAGCCGATCCCTGAGTCTTCCTCGGAGAATGAATTCACTGTCTTCTCCTGGACTTCTGTCACCTGCAAGCACACCTGGTTTCCAGCCATCATTTTTATCTGCGCAGAGGCAAGCGTCCTTCCAAGAAAAAACCCACAAACCACCAACACCATGGGAGGCAGCATCGAGAAGCCCCATTGGCTCGGTTGATGAAGCCTTTATGTTCCCGAGTCTGCCGTCATCTTTTGCGCACCAGAGATCTGTGCCAAAGCCTCCAGATGAATGGAGGCGCAGGGTGTCTGTTGATCCGACAGCTGTCAGTAAGGGTCATTATGGTCACGTGGCTCCAGCTCTTCAGGCAGCACCCATCAGAAGGAACATTTCACCAGAGAAACCTGCCTTCCACGGCCCCCCCTTCAGACCTGCCCAGCCCCTAAGGCATACTAGTAGGCCCAGTGCGGAATACAGGCCACAAAGCTATAGTCCAAGAAATTACTTTCACCAGTATAGTGCGGTCCAGTAATCCTAAAACAACTGAGAGATGAAATCAACCATTCAACAGATAATGTGTGGTTGACATTGATGCTGGTTTTGTTGTGTAGGTGGTCAGATGAAGTTTCATAGATTAGCATCAAAGAGACAAAAAGTAGCAATAACTGCAGCTGAATTTGACCTCAAATGCTCACATTTTTTAGATCACTTATTATTGTGTACTCTTGATGATAGAGATGCCTTTAAGTCTTTAATATGTGAGTATATTCACATGTTGAAGACTTAAAGACTCTACAGACATTTGGTTTTAAGAGCACAACTTTTTGGTGTTGCTTGAGGTTATTTCTCCAGAAATGGGAGATTTTGCTATGACTAGTTGTTAGCATGTATCACATGAGTTAAAATGGTTATCTAGAAGGTAGAAATCGAGTCTTTCTGTTTTGTGAGTGTGTCATTCTCAAAAAGTAGTGGTGTATTGATTGGGATTTGTTTTGCATGGTTTAGGGATTTTTCCACAATAATAATCGTTTCACATAATCGTTTTCATCCTGAATAATCAGGCCTGATTGATACTGGGTGTATTGGAGCTAATGTTCTGGGGTGTAAAAACAAACAAACAAAAGAAATGCACTGAATTTGTCTGTTATATCAAACCAATTATTACTATTAGTCACCGTCGGTATCAGTGGGACTCTATCACAAGTCTGTCTGTCACTCTTTGCTACTAGAGAGGTTTAAAATAGAAGTGATTATTTCAGTTGGTCTATCTCACTCTTAGCAACATGATATTTTCCCTTTATTCTACAGCGGTTTTAGAGAAATCTCTAATATTGCTCCACTGTTATGGCTTTATTCTTATTGTCATTCATGTTTTTATGTAACAAGAAGTGAATCTCCCACTGTGTGGTGCTCCACAGATTGTGTTTTGAGACTTTCATTATGTAGCCATGTTTCTGGCCCAAGAAAAAAATATGACTATTTATTAACATATGCCAATGAAAAAATACATTCAGAAATGTTATAGTTTCCCTTTGGATCATTAAAGTATCTTTTGATTTCATAATACTGTCCATCATAATTCCTAATAAATAAATATTTTTGGCACACTGCCACCACATTATTTGCTGCGTTTGTTTATCAGTATCCAGTCGGTGACGATGCACAAAACCCCAAGCAGGACTTATCACAGAAGAGCAAAGGCAGCTGCAGCACTAAGTAGGAACAAACCTCACTAACTCAAAAACATTGCACCTCAGAGGTTATGTCAACCGTCAGACTAGTGTTGACTTTGAAGACTCACAAACAAGGAAAGGAATACCTCTCAGCGGAGGACTCCTCTTCCCCGAGCACATCAGTTGGCAAGTGCCCCAGCTGTCCATCCTCTCCCCTCCTCGCTGTCCATGCCCCGCGGTGTCTGCGAATGGTTTTGAGTGTTTGACAGGTTAAATATAGCCTATTGATGCAAGCTGCATTCCACTCACAACAGACACAGAGACACAGTCGGAGTTTGGCTTTAGTGTCCATGAGTGTGAAGATCAGGGAAGATCAAACTACCTATTGTGGGTTGACCCCTGAGTCTTAGTGTCTCCTCTTCAAGGATACGAGCTGTACAGCAGGGACGACATCACAGGTACGATCAAACCTCATCAAACCGCATTTCTACCATTAAATAGCCATGCTGTAGTCACGTTCAGACTCTTAAGGGATGTATTTTTTAACTTTAGTAGAACATCCTCATGTAACTTTGTGTTAATTAAACAGTTTATCATTTTAAATGTACATTGCTTATCTTTATTACAATTTTGCATAAAACCTGTGCACCATTCTGCGATAAGAGTGTCAATACATCGCAACAATTTGCACAGCGGGCCATCAAATGCTGCATTTGACAACAAAGCACAAACTGACAGCTGAAAAGCTATTCTTGCCTTTGTGTTTGAGGACTTTCGTTGGCACTTAAACGTTCGATGGCCCAGTGACTCATTCGAGCTTAATGAAAAAGGCATCCTTGACCTCTCCTCTGGTGATTTAACAAGTGGGAGATAGTTCTGTGGCAATTATAGAGAAAATCCTATTTGAATAGTACTAAATCAAGTGCAATGGGGCTCGATGAATGATGCAACATATCATCTCTGTTAAATATGATGTCAGCATTTATTTTTAAAATGACAAATGCTGATTCTGTAGATATATTTCACATTACACAGACCATTTTATTTCAGATTCCAAGACCCACTGAGGGATGGTATATAGAGTATAAATGATGTAACTCGAACGAATAGGACTTTCAGTGGCTGAAAAAAGCACTGAGCTTCTGCATCTCAGAATAATCTCTCACTATTCTGGTCTGTTAATATGAAGGAAACGTCACTGGGTTTTTCTTACTCTGACAATGAAAAACTCATCGCAAACTGTGTGACTGGCTTAATACCTAGCAATACACACAATACACGAAAATACAAAGGCTCTGTTGTCTGTCTGATTCCAGTCCTCCTGAGTTTTTGTGAAAGCTTCAATGTAATAATTCTGTATAATGGCAGCTAGAGAGAGGACGAGATGTGTAAAGACTATTTGAAGAAAGGTCTATGATAACAGTAGTGTTATGGCGTCAGACCTGAGGCTCAAGAGACCAAAACAGACAAGAGAGTGTCCCCTCTGATCAGAGTTCAAAATGTCAGGGTAACTCTCCAAACACTTGCTGTAAATAAAGATATGGCGTGATTTACTACCGGGGATGACTAATCCTTTGTCGTTGGCCTTTTTCTGATGTCTATTTTGGGGTGGGTGCGAGTGGGGCTGGGAGAGGGGAGAGAAGTTGTGCCAACTGTGAGGCTGTTTGGGTAGCGTGAAGGTCTCCGACAGCTGGGGTACATTTTGGTTGTGAACTTGAAGAAGGAAACTTCATGTCCCCAAAATCGAACCTTAAGAATGATTAGAATGATTAGAGTTTATAGTAAAGGTGGGAATTATGAATTCAGTGGTACATTAGATCTTTTCAGTAAATGTGTCCGTCTATCGAAATTCAACAAGTGTGTATGAAGGTGTACTTTAAAGCCATCTACCCAGCTCTCAATCCAGGGACAGGTTATGCAAGTCCTATGTCCAGCTGTTTGGGCAATATTTTTCACACACCTTCAAGTTGTCTTTTTGGGCAATTACAAATTTAACCTGGAGACATTCAGGTACAGTTCAGTTAAGGTAAAAATAGTCTTGTTATGCTTTTTTCCAAAATTGCTAAATCAGAGTGACACACGTCTGCACATGTGAGATTTCTGTGCATGTAATAGACAGTCGATAAGCTGATGTTGCTTCTTGAAATGACTTTGTATTTTCCTCCTCCACTGATGATATTTGATATTTTTCCTTACAGGTGACGTCATCATGGATCTGGGGAAGAAGCTCAGCACCCCAAAAGACATCATGTTGGAGGAGTTGTCACTCCTTTCCAACAGAGGTTCCAGGCTTTTCAAAATGCGCCAGAGGAGATCAGAGAAATACACGTTTGAAAGTATTCAAAATGAGGCAAACGCCCTGCTAAATGTAAGCCGGCACTGTTCATCTCTTCCTTGTGTCTCTGTGATTGCTGGTAATTACTCTCGTAGAAGACTGCATCCCCATTCGAATGCTGGCATTGGCGCCCCATTTATGGAGTAAATTTGTCAGGAAATGTGCTCTTTATAAAAGTGTTCCCACTTGTGGCTGATAATGGAGACATGTGCCGCATGCCTTTTTTCTTATCCTGCAGCCAAATCTTGTGAGAGGCTGCTCAGGCACTTTGCTGAGGGGGCTGCTCCCCCGTTTATCAGAGCACGCGTGTGTTGTGGTACTGTTGTGAGTGCTTGTGTGCCCATGTATGTGAGTCCACAGCGACACTCACACCAAACACACCAGAGAAAATCAAACTGTGCTCTGTTCTGTTTTGCAGAGTAATATCATGAATCTGAATGCACACACGGTGGAGATTAAAGTTCAACCGCCAGCCGATGGAGACGCTGCTAATGCAGAAAATGTTTCTTCAGGTAATTATACGGTTCAGTAAATCCATTTAATTTAATTTCTCAGTGATAAAACTTTTGGTGAAGATGAAATGCATTCATACTGACAGTGATTGACTTCACTCCTTTCCTCTGTAGACAGTAGGCTAAAATTAAGATGTTACACCCAGACTGACAGCTTGTATGAACACCTCGGACATATTAGCTGGTCCCATCATATGGAGCTCATTTCTAATGATGAAGCCACACAATTGTGTGCATCCATTCTTTATTAAACCACACTGCTACAAATGATTAAACTGTATTCATTTAGTGGCAAATCTATTATATCCATTATGAATAAATAAATATATATATATATATATTTATATCTCTTATAAAATGCTCTTGAATAGACCATCATCCTATCACAGCACATTTCATGTTGAGTGTACACTCCAACTGTGCTATTTTAAGTCCCCAGATCATGATGATGGGCAGCTTAGTCTGTCTGTGGTAAATGTTTTCAAAGCTCTGTATCTATTCTTAATCCCATCCACTTTAAGCTTTCAAGAAACAAAGAAAGCGAGAAAGAAATGAGGCTAAAGTATATTCAGTTTAAGCCCCTGATAGCAAACCGAGCTGTCAGATCAGATCATTTGGTTGAAATATCAGCGCCATCATATCATCCCTCCGTGATTTAATGGTTGCGCTTACCTGCTCACAGATCTGACGGCGGAAGGGTCCCACAGCACAACCGTGCCTAAGTCCTATTACTCCCCCTGGGAGGAGGCCATCCTCCGTGACCCTGACCTCGCTGAAACTGTCCAACTCAGAATGCCAATGCCAGACCCACGGCCAGACCTCCCTGAATACAAATGCTTCAACCGGTGAGGAAGCCATTAGAAACGTTCAACCGGTCAGGACAGGGCTTAAAGCAGGGTATCGTTCATCTGTTCATTATCATTTCAGGGTCGCTACTCCCTACGGAGGCTATGACAAAACTCAGAGGGGTATCACATTCAAGCTCCCTGAGATGGACTTGAACCCTCCCCGATACCCGGAGCTCAGTGAGCCAGCGGTCAGGCGGCCCACCTTCAACAGGACAGCCCAGGGATGGATATCTGAGGGAACACATCTCATCCTCCCCACCATCACCCTGGAGCCCATCAACGTTCCAGAGTCTGATGACCTGTAGATAATTGTACCTGTCTCTGGCGCCATAAAAACATGCTGCAGTGTTTTGGCAGTTTAGTAGCTGTAATCACGTTGAAATAATGAAGATTTTTTGTCTGATCAAATGAACAAAAGATGTCACATGATTTTGTTCAGGGAATGGACTTTTATTTCTAACTTCTATGGGAAATAAAATGCATCCCGTAAAAAATAATGTAAATGAAATGTGGAATTCTGTAGATAATTCCACCAACAGTGAAAAATAGGTTGTAAATCTTAACAATGTTGACTGAAGTGGTGAATGTGTTGTAAATAAAAAATGGAATTTATATCCACCAGTTAGCGCTTTTAGAAAAAGAGACATGACATCTCTTATCTCTGGGCATTTTACTGACAGCTAAAGATTTTTTTTCTTTGTGCACGCGGAGCCGTGAATATATACAGGACATCATTTTTCACACATAATAAAATGATGTAACGCTAACTGAAACGTCTCTCACACTGCATAGCTATAGGAGGTGAATGTACATTTCTATTATCCAAACCTGCCCAGTAACATTTGTTGAAAATAGCTAGGCCTATGAATTATGTTGCAATACAAAATTAAATTAAATGTTTTAAAGTTCAGTAAAAATAGGGAGATAGAAGAGCAAAAAGCTCAGCTCTCATGCATGCTATTCACACATAACTGTCTCTATGAAGTAAAATATCAAAACAAAATTCTATCAGTTTCTGTATGTTTTATTCTTTCATTTTTCCCCTCCAACATAAATAAGCTTGCCATGGTCGTTTTTTAAATGAAGAAAGTTTGTTCCAATAAAGCACTGAACTGAAACTAAACCTGATATCAGGTAAGGGTCCCTTTGCAGCTGCAGCAAGGCTTGAAATCTCACCAACAAACTGAACAGAAAGACAGAAAACAGACACACATATCTCTAAAAATAACTTTAAGAACATCAGCATCGACTTTGACAGCTCATCTGAAAAGAGTTCAGCTGAGCCAAATCCAGCAGAGGAAATAGGAGGCATATTTATCTCAGACTTTATAAATACTTTCAAAAACTCTTCCTGTGTTCCACGTGAGGTCTTCTCTGTTTCAGCACCAGTGCATCATCCTTGGAAAATATGAAAAGGCACCAAAATATAGAATCATACAAATACTCCATGCAGTGTGCATATATACGTATATATTTATATATATATATATTTATATATATATTTATATACATATATATATATACACACACACACTTGTTCATACATATCTTCTCCACATATTTTTTTAGTTTAGTTAGCAAACCTTATTTAAACATGTTCATTTTGTTTAACTTAATACCCATTTAAGAGTATCATACATCCTTCAGAAAAAGAAAGACCAGCAGCAGTGTTTGATTTATCTATGCATATTATTTAAAGTCAGGTGGAAAATAAAGTTTACCCTCTTTCAGGTCTAAGCTTTACCAATCAGAATATTGGTGTTCATCACCGACTTCGAATTGTACTGGTCCTGTGGCTGTAAAAAGGTTGTGTTTTCTACCAACTATTACTATTCTTGTGCTTGATAGGTGGTTTGTGAGCTGATCACCTAAAACTGTCTATCATAACTAAACAGATTCACTTTGTGTTCACCTGTCCAAAGGACATTGTTCTAGAAGTCTTGTGTCTGTGGATGCAACGATATGAAGCAGCGTGATTGTGTTTTCTTTTTTAGGGAGAAGACCCTTGCAAACAACCATACTTGTTCCGTCTTTTTTCTAATTATTCGGTCATTGACTTTAATATTTATCAGGCCCTCTCAGGGTTTGAGATGCTGATCTTTTTTCACATTCTCTGAGAATTTCATGGTCTGACCATGGGATAAATTTGGTGAGATCTCTGATAGTTGGAAACATCTTGAATGTTTGAACATCCTATCATGTCTTTTGCCACTGATACTGTGCATACTTTACAATGAAGCTACGGGGAACAACTTTTGCATTTAAATAAAAATCTTCTCTCTAATTTGGAGAGGATTTGTGCATAAAGACACACAAATGAGTGTCACTTTTGCTGACTCCAGCTTGCATCAGCCTCTCTTAGTCTTCCTGTCTACACTTATAACCTGCTAAGCTCTGCAGCCTTTCCCCTGCCAGGCCCTCCATCTGCCCCAATTTTTACTCTTGTTTACTGCAGCATGAGAGTTGCACACACAGTCAATGGATTTACCAATTTTGAAAGGCGTAAAAAACAATCACTTGCACCACTGAAACTAGAAGATATAAACACGATGTGCTCCTTTCACGTGTTTAGTAAGAGTCCTTTTCCCACTTGAACTGTTAGAAAGAGAAAACAGTGAGTATTCTTTTTCTGTCTTTGACATTTCAGTGAGAACGTTCACAAAAAAAAAAGAAAAAAAGGAAGGGGTTAGTCCCCATAGTGCTGCATGATTATGAAACCAGTGCAGTCATGTGATGTCTTCTCTCATCATCATCATGACAAGTTGGAAGTCTGACCTTCCGCTTGCACGCAGTTTTCCATGCAGGGATTGAAGATTACAATACAGCAGCAGTGCACCTGAGGCTACGCTAGGGGCGGAGTTTGACCCCTCCAAGTCTCAAAACATCCCTAATCCGCGTCGGACATTCCGATTCAGGCCATCACCGGGTCCGCTTCTGCGAAAAAAAAAAAAAGGAAAAGAAAAACAAGGAAGGCATCGGTCTTGAAACCACGCGCTGGTTCCCGGTGCGCGCGGAGTTGGGAATGCTGCACCGTTAGTGCGGCGTCCACGCGTCCGCGGACCTTATCTGCAGTCGTTTCCAGTCCAGCCTTGATTTTTCAGGATTCTAAGGGCGGGTGGGGGGGGCAGGAGAGAGAGAAGCGGCGGGATTTGCCCAGCTGACCACCCAGCTGACCGCCCCGTCCGCCGCCCCGGGAGGTGAGCGCACAGCTCTGGTTTGTTGTTTTTGGGTTTTTTTTTTCCTCTCCTCGGAGCGCGCATTGCAAGTTGCGGCATATCGGGAGCTGCTCAGCCCCTCAGCCCGCCGCCAGCCTGCTGGAGCATCGGTGGCGTGTCTCTCCCACTGTGGGAGCTTGTATGGGTTTGGAAAACATCCGATCGGCGCATCAGATTCTGGTAAAAAAAAAAAAAAAAAAAAAATTCCCGTTGAGCACAAAAATGGTCGCTCGTCGGCTGACACATAAATCTCGTGGCTTGCGGTGGCATTTACGTGCATGGATCTAATGTTTTTTTGGGGCGGCCAAAAAAAAAGAGACTTCTGCGGTGTGTGAAGGTCCAAACTACTGGTGGTGAGATAAGAGGGGTAGGGATGGAGCAGAGGGGCATCAGGTCCAGACTAACGCCTTCATCCGAGCGCGGGAACAGGTTGAGATGTACAGTACCGGGATTACGGAGCATGTTTTGAATGTATGGGGGTGGGGGGGTTGTGGTGGTGAGAGGCCATGTCACATGTTTATGTTGAGCTTCAGGGAGACGTGGAGTTTAATTCAATGGAATTTGCCGCAGGTCAGGCTGCTGTTTTGCTTTAATTTCTAACCGCGTGACAGAACGTCCAAATGTAAAACCATTCAGATTATAAAGAGCACAGGAAAGAAAAGATTCACTCAGTCAGTGGAACACAACTAGCACCCTCTTGCATTCCTAAGGTGGGGATATACAAGTCAATATAACCTAAGATGAACAATTTACCTACAGCTTCTTTTTTTGTTTTTTTTCATTGACAAAAACCAACCTAATGTGAGCAGTGTGGGGAATAATTATTTAATCACGTTTCCTGACAAATGAAGGCAGTAAGCTGTCACCAGGTTTTGTTCAACGGCTGCAAATTAATGGATTATTTGCAGGTGTGTGGGCCCTTACAATGATGGACACTTGGCAGTTTGCAGGTCTGGAGAATTAAAGTGTTAGTTAATCAACGGCATCTAAGCAAGGACATTAAAGGTAATTGTTGATACTGCTCAGTTTGGGGAGGGTCATGGCACTCCTTCCAAACTATCTGCATTACCATTATTGTACATTTAAGGCACTTGTCAATCTTCACTATGCTTGCATTCTTGTAAATCCAATGTCCGGAGGTAAACAAAATGCTCTTAGAAACTTCAGAAAAAAGAAATGGCCACATCCTAGAGTCTACAGTTCCCTGTGTTGGCATGTTGGATGCTAAAGATGGTGATAGTGCAGTTTGAAAAAAAGTAAAGCTTGTTCGGAAACACTGCAGGAGGAAGTATCTTCTCGCTAAAAAGAGCACGTTCCAGCAAAGTGTGCAGCGTTCAAAAGTGAGGCCATCTGTCTGAGCTTGGCTCAAACTGGGTCATGTGACGGGTGATCCTAAACATGGCAGCTATTCCGCAGCGGAATCCATGGTGAAAAGCGAAGAGTCAAGGTGTTTACAAGTCCAGACCTCAGCCTGGTTGTAATGCTGCGATTGGACCCTGGAGATAGTTGTGAAGCGGCTAATGCTTGCTAGCTTCTTTGAACGTGGATCAAATTCCATCACTGCTGTGAGAGCCTGATGATGTCATTCAAAAGGACTACTTAAAGTTATTGCTGTTTAAAGAAGGTTGGAAGAACTGTTAAATTGCGGGCCGTGGTCATTTTTTCACTACACATATCTGCATATTGACCAGAGATTGTGTACTTTCTGCTTTTCGGACAAAAAACAAAAACTCAGCCACTATGTTTACATGCTCAGATCTAGGTGGACTGACTGCCTCATTGTTGTCTCCATTCTCCACATTTAGTTTAGCTGCCATTCGATGTCCAGTAGCACGTGGCTGAGGCTGCCCTGTGGCTGATCCGGACGATGCTTTCCACAAACCACTGCGGTGGTGCGTGGGGATGAGATGGATGGAGCCCATGGCCAGGCCAGCGCACCAGCCCCCATGTCCCGGGATGTCCAGCTGCAGCAAGTCTCCCTCCAATTCCGGAGAAGGTAGTTGGCAAGATTCATCTGGCGCCCGACCAAATCAGTAATTTGGATAAGTAACGTAATGAACAGCAATGTGGATTAGCAGAGTGATCATCCGGGGCCTCCACTGCATCAGAAAATGAGTTCTGTGTTTGTGTATTCATCAGTGTCACAGTCACTGCCTGGGAAATGGCAGGATTCAGCATGCTGTATGCCGCATGTGTTCATTATTGTTTCATATCCGATAAATGTCATCTTAAAAGATGCAAAGACACGTGCCAGCCGTGCCTCTAAAAATGTTTTTCTTTTCTCATCAGCTGCAGCCTCTAACTCCATGTCATGGGTGAAAATGTTCAAGAAACCAGGAGGCCTGAAGAAGTCCTACCAGCCCGGGAGCATGCTGTCCCTGGCGCTTACGAAAGGTCTGCTGAACGAGCCGGGCCAGAATAGCTGCTTCCTCAACAGTGCTGTTCAGGTGGGAACCATTTGAATTTTTTAAAGATGTTTGGAATTGCTGCAGGAGCTCTGAACTTACAAAACCATGTCAAAAGTATGCAAAGCTTTACGGCAGGTAAAAAGCTTTTTTTAAATGTTTTTTGTAAAGCATTTATTGGGAGTGATCTCAAGAAATTTAAAGCTTTAAAATACTTTTTTTTTACCAGGACAAGATTAACGGTGTTGGTGTTAATGAGAGTTGCACAAACTCAATGCAAAGCACCGACTCAAAGTAATTAGCTGCACATTAGCGAGAGCTGAGTGAGCTGCTGTGTTCAGTGTTAAAGCTCAGTGGTTACGGCAGTACTTGCATTCTCTAAACAGTTCTCTGACTAGAATCGGCTCATCTTCAGCTTGACCAGCTGTGACCGCTCACCAGCCAGTCAGCACCACATTTATCTGACGGCCAAATTCACACACATGAGCAACAGGTAGGGGGATGCTGAGCTTTCAGGTTGTGTTGGTCAGTCACCAGAGCAAAAAAAAGTTGACTGGAACAGCACAAAACATTTCGAACTGCTCATCAACTGAAGACACGGGTCGAGGCAGAAATCAAGAGCTCTTAACCACACATGAAAGAGGGGATAAAGCTTCCGTTTCTGACGTTGTGCCGTCGTTGAATGTTCCCAGGTGCTTTGGCAGCTGGACATTTTCCGGAGAAGTCTGAGGCAGCTCTCTGGTCACTTCTGCCTGGGCGATGCCTGCATTTTCTGTGCTCTGAAGGTATGCCGGGAAGGATGTCGCTTTTAAGTAAGCGAGAGAAAAAAAAAAGCAGATTTCAGATTACACTATGTGCTGTTTAATTTCAGAGTATATTCAGCCAGTTTCAGCAGAGCAGAGAGCGCGTGCTTCCCTCTGACAGCCTGCGGAATGCCCTCGCCGAAACCTTTAAGGACGAACAGCGCTTCCAACTGGGCCTGATGGATGACGCTGCTGAGTGCTTTGTATGATCTGGCTTTGGCTTTTGATAAAAAAAATTATAACCATTGGATTTTCCCCCTTTAAGTGTGGATTAAAAATGGTTGTAGTTCTTCCTCCAAATGGCAGGAAAGAGCTGAAAAAAAAGATGCTAGAAGCTAACATTGTTTTCTGTGCAAAGGTGAATGTCAGCATTTTTCTGAAGTCTTTTAACTCGAATTAATTTAATTTCACTGAACTAATGGAGGAGAAACAATAACTTTAGGCCAAATGATCTTTGTGCTTTTGTATTGATGTTGCTTTATGGTGTGGTTTGCTGTTTGTCAGTATATACTGAAAATAAGAACCTTATCTGCTCCTTTGTCTCGTATGTATGTATTTGTATATATTCAATATACATATATACACATATAACGTTTGTGTTTGTAGGAGAACATTCTGGAGCGGATTCATTTGCACATTGTTTCAGACATGGCGACTGATTCTTGCTCATCCAAATCCTGCATTAGCCATCAGAAGTTTGCAATGATGCTTTACGAGCAGGTAACTTTTAAAATTATGCTGAACTGTGGCAACTCGTATGAGCTGTATTATTCTGGGTATTACATTACCCAGAATAATACAGCTCATACGGCTGTTGTAACTAAATGTAAAATTAGAAACTCTTTGAAGAAATGTGGAAAATGTGCCCAGTAAAGTAATGCAGAGCATTTGTTTTTCAGTTTGTGTGCCGCTGTTGTGGCGCATCTTCAGACCCACACCCCTTCACAGAATTTGTTCATTATGTCTCCACCACCTCTTTATGGTGAGTAATTGACTTGGTGCCAAAAACTAGATAAACGTATAGATAAAATTAGTAAGAAAATTAATTGGTCTTAGATCATTCATTTGCCCACCAGTCATGTAGATGTCTTGAATGTTTAATTGTTTTTCCACAGACTAGAGGAAATACTGAAATACTTTCTGTGCTAAAGTTTTGAACTCGGTATTAAGATAATCCTGCATGCATACCTACAAAATGGGCTTACATATTTATGAATAGAATTTGGGTGTTCGGGGAAAAAAAACAGAAAATCAACACCTGTCCTCTTGCACAGCCAACAGGTGGATCACAACCTGGGGAAGAACGAGCGCCTCAGGTCAGACATGTTCGGAGAACTGCTGCAGGCCGCAAACAGCACGGCTGACCTCCGAAGCTGCCCAGTACGTTTCGCTTTCATTGTTTCCATTTGGGTGATCTTTTCTAATAAATTCTTCACAGCAGGGTAACTCATTATCTCTCCCTGTTGTGCTCTATACTTCATAATTCAACTGAGTTTAAGTATTCGGAAAAATTATTCTTTACAGACGTATTATGAGAAAAAAAACAGGGACTGGTGTAAATGTTGAGATGTTTCTGTAGGATGGAAATAAAGATTCTTTTAAACGTGCAGAATGCACTCCGTGGCGCTGAACTTGAGGCGGCAGGAAATAAATGGTGCCAAACTAGTGTTGGGATATAAATAGCAGGAAGGGCTTATCCACTGCTTTTCTCTCATCTGTATTTGCTACCTCTGTCTCCCATTTTGGCGTGCATCTGCTTAGCAAAGCTCTGTTCCTTCAAACCCAGGCTTCTTCCTGAAACGCTACAGTATGAACCTTATCCGCCTCCTCCCTGCTTTGCTATGTTCATGACCAATGAGTTTGTTTTTTCTGGTGATGAGACACATGACTTTATTTTCAGCTTTGTTTAGTTTTACCCAGAAGGTCGCAAAGTTGCAATCTATTACTCCGTTGTAGACAATTTAAAGATACGTAGTCACGTTTTTATAAGGGAAAAGGATGTGTGTTGAAACTGATAAAATCTAAAACAACAATTTCCGGTCTCACAATAATATACATGAATATGCTCTCCAAAAGACAACATAAATCACTCTAGAATATCAGAGCAAACGGGCTTCGCCGTGAGTGTTGGTACAACTGTTTAATGTCAAAGAACCTAGGTTTTGGACTTATTGAAAACAGCCTAGGTGGTCTGATCCCTCTGGTTAGGAGTATGTTTGTTCATGTCAGATGATCGAGAGCACTGATTATTGTGCCCGTAATACATGTTTCCACTGTTATGATCCATCTCGGGTCCATATATGGGCTTCTTTTATTGTTACTTTCATCATATTATAGACTATAAAAGTAAACATGCTGAAATATCTGGCAATCCTTTGAGGATAAACTGATGCCTCTGCCTGTGCTTCTTAAAGACGGGAAGAGAGAAATAGCAAATTCCATTATCTCGGCATGAGCAAATAATTACACTTGTTTTTTTGTGTTTTAGAAGCCTGAAATTAAAAAGAAAAGAATAATTGAATTGTAGACATACTTTTCTCTTTTTCTCTCTCTTTTTCAAGAGCGACTGTGGTCAGAGCATCAAGATCCGCCGTGTGCTCATGAACTGTCCTGAGATCGTGACTATAGGATTTGTATGGGACGCTGAGCAGTCAGATCTCACAGATGATGTTATCAGGTCCCTCGGACCACGGCTGAACCTATGCGGGGTAAGAGCTGAGAAGGCCAGATGTTGATATCTATCACTACCAAGCACAAACTGCAGTGTTTCATGTAATCATCCGAATCATATTAGTCAGGTGTGCTACAAGAATGGTTTTAAGTTATGAACTGAGTCACCATCCCCATGAATGTTAGTATTTCTTTGAGAGATGGAGGCCACTGTGCTTCGACCTTGTCAACTGGTTGTTAAATCCATATACTCCATGTTTTATTGTCGTAGGATTCAATTTCCAGCAGAGGGTATAATGTTACAAACCTGACAAAACATGCCGTATTTCAGCTTTTCAGCAGAGTCACTGATGAAAATGCCAAGCGGAGTGAACTGCATCTGGTGGGAATGATCTGTTTTTCCAGTAAACATTACTCAGCTTTCGCCTATCACACCAAATCCTCAAAGTGGATGTTTTTTGATGACGCCACTGTGAAGGAGGTTAGGACGTCGGCTTTTAAACCCCTTTGCTCCATTTTCAAAAGTCTGCTGCTTATTACCGCGTAATACCTGCTTTGAGATCAAGAGTTCTCTCTTCAACCAGATTGGGTCCAAATGGAAGGATGTCGCTTCCAAATGCATCAGGGGACATTTCCAGCCTCTTCTTTTATTCTACACCAACCCCGAGGGGAGCCCAGTTTCCAACGAAGATGCACCGAGACAAACCACCATGTGTCCTCGCTACAAAGCCCAAGTCAATGGCGACATGACCAGTAAGAGAACCCTTTAGTTCTGAACTTCTGCACTCTGGAACATATCAAACCAAACATGTTATATATAGTGACTCTCTTCCCATCACATTAGCCAGAGGGAAATATAGTTTCACAGTCTTTGATGTTAAAACTGAAAGGATATCTCACTTGTCGTTTTAAATCAGTGTGAAATTCCTAACGAACAGTTAATATGCAGTTGACACCCTGCTGCATTCTGACTAAAACGATGAGGATTTTCTTCTTTAACAGTGCTCATGCGGCGTTAAGATATTTCTGAACACTATTCGGTATACTCTTTCTGAACATAAATGTGCTTTTAATCAGTGTATTTACAATCCTGCAATTTTTGCCATGATTTGGAACTACAAAGATTCAATCTGGAATTAAGAAATGGATGCAACAGTTACCCTGCACCAGTCTGACAGTAGACGTTCCAAATGTTATTAATATTACAAAAAAGAAAGAGGGGTGGTCTTGAAATCTATTTAATGTATAAGGCAATTACACATCCTGGTCAAAAAACTTCAACGCACTGTAATTGTAAATCATAAAAGTTAAGCCATCTATTATACATAGTTTGAGAGTTTATTCCTGAAGGGCTCCAGTCCAGAAATCTAAAGTTTCCTTATGCCTGTAAACAAAAAAAAACAACAAAAAAAAGCCCATAATTTAGTCAATTTATTTATTGAATGTTCTTTCTTTTGGTTTCATGTACAAGTACAGTCGAGTATAGCCCCTGTGGCAGATTAAATGTATGCCATTTATGGAAATATGGGCAATGCAAAGGGGAATGTGTCAGTCCAAGTTAGATTTTGGTTATTAAACAATCTCCCAGTGACAGTCTGTCCCTCAGCAAAGCCCTTTTGACAATAGCCAGTATGTGAAATGACAAAAAAAAAAACAAGAAGCACAAAAGCAGTGATGGTCCAATGTTGGTTCTTGAGGGCGTTTGTCCAGCAGGTTTTAGTGTCCCTGTTTTAACACACCTGATTCTAGTGCAGTGCACGCTCAGCTAACCGTGAGACAGGAAAGATAAATGCATTATCTTGCTTTTGTAACACCATGTAATACAAATAAAAATGTGCATAAAAATAGCTAATAGGTTTTTCACAAAATCCACATATAGATTCTGCAACCAAGTGTTCGATCAGTTCATTAGATGACATTCTATTGCCAAAACGAGAGCATTCGGAACCTTCACCAGAGCCGTTTCTAGGCTAGAGTGTACTCCAAATCCTAACTGGAACTCCTAAAACGGACTATTTATGTACAAATGATCACAAAGCTGACCTCCAACGATTCTTTGCAGAAATTATAATATGAAAAGGATACTGGTCTATAATTAGCAAACCATCCTGAAAAAAGAGAAGATTTATTTTCATTTTTAGGACTTAAAAGAATGAGATGCACAGTGATATACACAACCTGTAAACAGAGACAGATTGATCAAATCTGATAGGGAAATTTTAATTATTGAGGGGGTAAAAAACCCGGCCTTGAACCGGTCGGCTGGAATTGGACCAGAAATACAAGTTAATGTTTCGGTAAAGCTGTAGTGTTATGAAACCATGGACAGATCGACCGTCTGGTCATATGCGCAGGCCTGAACTTCACATGAGGATGATGCCTCTATAGCGCACAGATTACCACCCACGCCTTTCACCCTAATCCCTGCTTCTCTGGCCACTCGTGCTCTGGTTCTACAGCACTCACTCCTCCCCTTGATTTTTCCAATGTTTGCCCCCATTAATTTGTCAGCTTTTGTGTGTGTGCAGGCATGTGTGTGTGAGTGGAGATTGTTCTGCTTTAATGTGGTGCCCAGATAATTTTGCATGGCATAACTATCTTTGCTTTTATGAAAATCATCAAAGAAACTGATGTGTTTCCATAAAAATGGATACATTTTTTTTGCTTTAACCCTTTGTATGACACACTAGTTTTTGGTATATTCTTTGTCAAACTAGATGGTATTTTGAGGTATTGTTAATTTGTGCTGTATGGCCGGAGAGTTTCATCTCTCAACAACTGCCTTTTGGTCATACTCTTGCATAACAAAGTCTCTGCAAGCACGATGCATATGTGGATTAGTTAATAACTTGCCAGATGTATTAGTTATACAAGGGGGTGCTAAATCAAGATCCTTTGTTTATGTCAGGAAAGCCATGATAGTTCAGCTGACTCACAGCTGTTAAAATGAATTTGTATTACTAACTAAATGAAAATAGATTCCAAGCGGGAAGCAATGCTGCCCAAAAAGGTCTCACTCAAAGAGGAGGTGAGGTATGAAAGTGGGAGTCGGCAGCTGTTAGAGGAACATGTTCCTCTGAAGGCAGATACTCGCAGTTCAGCTCATCGCTGTTTCTCACATTGACCTGCTCGTTAGGCACAGAGAGACACCTCAGGCTTTGGAGAGGGGGAAGCAGTGGTGTTTATCAAAGTTAATGACGTGACATCTGTTCTGTTTGAAGATTTTGGTTTGTTTCCTGCTCCATTTGCACTGAGACGGAGGAGGAGAGTGACGCATGGAAAAAAAAGAAACATCTCGCCTGGACTGGAGGCGTCCGTATGAGCCCATCGGGGGCTCAGAAATCCTGTTTCGCTCCTTTTCACCTGCATTCTGAAGGCACACAAAAGCATTCTGAGCATCTATCTGAAGCGCATATGTAGAGAAAGTGGGGCATGCAGTAAAACCATAAGCCTAAGCACACAACTTGTTCTACTAGAGAATGTATAAAGAAGAGTAAAGTTAATCTTTTGGTTTTGACCAAGTCAAAGTCTGGACCTTAATCCCAAAAGAAATGCCGTGGAAGAAATCCGCCAGTGGACGAATGAGATGATGTGAAAGACTGATCAACAGAGAGCAAGTGTTCACATGAATTTGCCTCTCACATATTTGAAATGCGGTACTTATTTGGTTTCAGTGAAATAAGCCGCTGTCGGATGCTATTTTTGAGGGACAAACGTACAACAGATCCTGAGGGAAACCAAATGAAAAATCCAATATTACACATCTCCGAGCAAATACTCATCTACAATTTGATTTATTTTTTGCCCTCAGTCAAACATCTTCTTGGCGGTCCGAACCAATTTCAGGATCCTTATATGGAGCATTTGCAAAGGCCAGGTGAGACATCAAAAAAGGACAGAGGGCAGCGGAGAATTGACCCATCCCAACTCAAAGGTACAAGGTTGCATCAGAAGAAGGATACTAAAAAGTTCAAATTCAGTCATCTTACTATCTCCACTGTTTTTTTGTTTTTTTTTAGACACTACCCATGCAAGATCTTCATCTCCACCAGAAAATGGGCTAAAGCCTCCTGTGGACAAGGTAAAAGGCCATTCGCGTGTCGACAGGTCATCGGCCTATTCCAGCAGAGGACTTCCGGAGCCACACGGACCGTCCTGCAGCGCACAGGGTCGAAGGGCCAACGCGTCCCTGGGTCCGGACCAGGAGAGCTGCCGTGAAGCGTGGGAAAGGAGTGGGGATGGAGGAAGCCGGGCCAAGCCCAGGTCCAATTGGAGGCCCGTCCGAGAGGTGTTGAACGTGGACACTGTCCTGAACGAGCTGGAGCAACGGTGCCTGCAGCAGGACAGCCCGCGCTGCAGCAAGTCCACGCCCCAGGAAAGGCCGCGCGGCGAACAGGTCCGAGATCGCGAGCGGGAACACGCGCGGGCGAGGGAGGAGCGGAAGCAGAAGTGTCTGATGACCATATACGAGGACGAGCAGCGGCACGAGACGGAGAGCCACAGCTCTGTGGAGTCGGAGAGCAGGGCCGGCCAACAGAGGGGCGGCAGACTCAAAGGCGGCCCCAAGACCCTGCTGCGCAGTGAAACCTGGACCATTCAGAGGACAGAGTCCGGCTACGAGAGCAGTGATAGGCTCAGCAGTGGCTCCACCAACCCTGACTCACCTGGGGTCGACGGTTTTGCCCTCAGACCAGACCAGAGACCAACACCTGAGGTACATATGCAAAGGTAAGAAAAGACTGCCGGTGCTCACTGATTTTACTATGCAGGTAAATCCGACTGAAACAAAATGGGGCTGGAGAGATTTCTTATTGAATATGTTTTTTGTTAAAATTACTGGCTAAGACTGAAAGAACAACATGGTTTTGTCTCATTTATAGCGAGCTGCATCAAAACGGAGGCAGTGCAAAATCAAGTTCAACGTGTTCGCCCTCACACAATGGTAAGTTCTAAGATTAACAAATGCCCATGGTTTTCAAAAAACGGGGAAGTGTCTGCTTGTAACTTTTGATTCGTGAGAACTATTTCCAAAGATGAGGTTTTACATCAATCCCTCTGCTTGGTAATTCGGTCGGGGGAGAAACTTATTTTCAAAACCCATAGCTTGGGATTAAAAAGAAGTGGGTTTGAAAATGTAATATCAGTAACCAAAGAAAGTACTGCAAAATGTAGACATTAAAAAGGATTAGGAGCATGGTAGAACAGGTTGATGGAAAGTTTGAGTTACATGCAGCATCTAATCAGCAATAGTTTCTCACTTTACCAGGAAAAGAAGGCGATCTCATGTCTGGTCTGATATGTTGAAGAAAGATGTCCGATGTATTAATTTGATGTTCTAGAGTTGAACTAAAATGCAACAAGAGATCAGAATTACCCCAGACATCCCCGTTTCCCCATCACTCTCTTTCTCCATTCCTTTAGTTTGTTGTGTGACTTGCATTTGCATCACGACTATGTAAATGTAACCGAGGACTGATTAATGTCTTGAGTCAATTTCCGAGCTTGGATTTGCTTATTTAACCTCTTGACCCACTCAGCCTTGCATGGGCATTAATCTGAGGGTAATCCCACAAAGCTCACTCAGACTGCACAGCTGGGCACGGATACATGCATTGTCATGAGTACCTTTCCGGCCACACGCAGCACTTTGAGTGTGCTGCACTTACTTTATCTAAGGCTCTGGGCCCTCAAGGGCCAGTGCTTCCAAACAACAGCTAAAGCTTCTATCCATGCATGGAGCTCCCCCTGGGCAAAGGCAAAGGCAAAAGAAAAAAACAGATCTATTTTTAAAAGGAAGGAATTCAGCGCCATGCCGTCTCTAGCTGTGCTGTTGCCCAAAACCCGAGCATGGAGACGGGTTCATCCAGCTGTGAGAAAGTCTCGTGAGATCAACTCTGCTGCCACCTTGTGTCTTCTGAGATTTTTTTTCAATTTCCTTTCTGCTTTTTTCTATCTTCAAATTGAAGAGGGAGCGAAAAAAGTCTGAATTGTCAAGTCTCCAATTAACCAAACTATTTAAGTGACGCTCATAAATCTTTAGCTTCAATTATATTTTGGAACTTCTTTTTTCAGTAATTTATCTAAATTTGTAATTTTACAATGTCGCATATTGTTTGTCGTACAATAAGTTAATTTGGTACAAAAAGAAGTCGATCAGGAGACTAGAAAGTGGACGTTCTTTGCTGTATTCACAGACGATAGTTTCATGTCTGAGTGCTACACAGACACGTCTTCGATATTTTGTCATTGTTGTCCTTTTTTTCATTGCAGGTAAACAGCCCAAACCTCAGGGAAAAAACCATGAGCAAGTTTCACTTTCACATATAAAGTCCAGTCCAAATTCAAGGTAGAGTTCTTAACCTGTGCACTTTAGCGTTCATAATGTGCAAATGAATTTTAATTATCGTCTAATATTTTGACGGTGTACCTATTTCTGCCTGTTCAGCGGTTTGTTTGGAGGATGGAGGTCATCTTCCAATGTTCCATAGTAATTCTAAATGGAGCTGTGCCACTTTCTGATTATTTTCATTTCATCTTTACTGCAAATTGTGTATTTCCAAACTGTTTCACCAGACAAGGAGCTAAAACAAATTTAGTATCTTGTAAAAGGTCATACATTTATTTTGTGACAATAGGTTGCAATACTTTCATATTTAAAAAGCACATTTTTTCTTGAAGCTGTTTGTTGAACACTTTGTTTTTACTCCTTTCTCTTGCATGGATTGGTCAGCCAATCCACTGACATGGGTCATTTTGTTCATCCTTACTGGACATATGTAACATTATCAGACACCTTGATTCTGAAGATCTGTTGGCATGGTGCAGCTTTAGATGTTTGATGTTTGTTTGTTTTTTTCCTTTTTGTAGACGGAAATCCAAGTACACTTCGGGCACTTCCAGGAAAACGTCATCTTCGGAGAGGAACTCTTCCGGCCCAGATACCAGGCTGACCGAACAGCAGGAGCTGACAAACTGTCGAGGGCACGGTGGTGAAAGTGCCACCCTGAGACACATTACGAAAACCAGCAGCTCTGAATGGAACAGCTCCGACGATCTGGCCCTGTCTGAGCCCGAGGACAGGGAAAGCACTTACCTCTCCAGCAACAGTGAGGCTGTGAACTCGGACTCTCAGAGCTCTAACATGGCTCCCGCGTACCACCCTCCCAACAGGGTGTCTGCGGAGGCTCCCCAGCGCCAGCCTGGTGCCTCCGGGTCGGCCCACCTCAGACCCGGCCCGCACACGTCTGCTCACCAGGGCGAGGAGAGCCATTCGCTGTTCCGTCCCAGGATGCTTCAAGAACCCTTTCCGCCGAGTCCTCGCCTTCCCGCCTCTTCCTACGCTAGTCCCCACAGGAAACCCGACATCGCGGGCCTCCGAAAGTTCTCGGACGCGAGCTCAAAGTCGGGCTCGGAGCCGGACAGGAGCACGCAGTCGTCGTTAGAGAGCGAGGAGAAGCCGAGCGGGTGCCGGGCGGATCAGGCGGCTCAGGAGGTTTCCCTGACCACATATTTCAACGTGGACAACTGCATGACGGAAACCTACCGTCTCAAGTACCACAACCAGAGGCCTCTCGTCCTCTCTGCCACGGCGCCACGGGCGGCGGCCGCCAGCGAGCGCAGAGACAACAGCCACGCGCTTCCCAGTGAGGCACACTCACAGGACCTGCCAAAAGCCAGAACTGAAGCAAGTAAGTCCAACGCAAGACGCACGCCTAGCGTCCGTCCGTCCCAGACATGCAGATTTTCATAGGAAGTTTGAACACAGCGCAGCGAATTAAATGTGTTTTCTAACAAAAGTGTTCTGTACGTGTTGTGTGCAGGCCATAATAGCAATAAACCGACAGCGAAATGGAACCCAGTGACAGCCAAGGGACTGGATGAGCGTGGTTTTTTATGACTGTGAACGTGGTAAGTTTGGTTTACAGTGGATGGACAGAATAACTGGATGCCAAAGAGTTTACAGAATGGAAGTATGTTCAGAAGCCGCAACATCTCCAAGCCGGGTGGAACTTATTTATGCAAGCTTGTCACATAAGTAAACCCTATTTCGAAATGCTGTTATGTATTGTTTGACAGATTATCAACCATCACATATATCTTCCATTGTTCCAAAGCATTGTGGTGAGCCACTTTCAGTTTGCACAAAGGATTCTTTAGTTTTTAAAAGGATTCTTTTTTAGCTCCTTTTGTTGAGTTTTTTTCTGCACAACATCCCTGCTATTATGCTGCAGAGGACATATTTAGACATTTTAAAATAAATAATTAAAAGAATATGGAGACCCACGGATGATGCTGTGGCTTATTCAGTGACAGAAATTTGAGAGAATTGGTTGCATATTGACTGGAGATGACATGTTAAAGACACTTTATTATATCAAAATGAATCGGTAGTGATTGGAGGGTCATTCACCAGATTACATCTGTCAAAAGATTAGATCAGAGTAGAGTAGATATTATTGCAAATATCCAGGCAGCTCACTAACTTTATGCACTTTGGGGGCTTTGTGTCACCAGACAAAAGGCTCTGCAGCAGCTTGCCATGTTTAGTTACCCATTTGTTTTGGGTGTTGTCCTTTATCGGCTCTTTTTGCAGCATTTACGTGTCCGTGAATGACTGCATGCTGCCCCACGTCAGTCTCTCTTGCTGTGAAATGTGTCGACAAAGATAGTGATTTAGTTGTTACCCTGGGGAAGAATAGAGAAGCTAACAGTGCATATGTAACTTGGCTCATCAAAGGTGATCTTTGCATGACTGCGTCCAGCCCATGGCAGTCTACAACATAGTGTTTTTGGAGCATATCTGAGTAGACGGGGCAGCCCTCAGGTGATTCAGGTCACTACACACGATGACATGACCTTGTGTATTCTACCTTTTTGATTGTGCTGTTTCTTGTAATCCTTCTTTTTTTTGTAAATCACAGTGATGTCAAAATGTATGTTTTCAGTCTTCCACTAATTATGTAGGTTTTTAAAAGGTCTATATTTGCAGGTATTTTCGTAATGATGCCAATGTAATGGACACATCTGACATTATTACTAGCGTACAACTCAACCCTCTGGTGTTCTTGCTCATAACAATAATGTTCTGACACCTGCATGTGGCCTTTACAAAATCATACTAGCTGTATGTGCAGCATGAGCATGGAAATGCTGGGCTGTTAGTCCAATTAAGTTTAACATAATATGGGGTTCTATTTAGTTGTAATAAAACAAATTATTCAAATAGTATTTTTTAACCATGTGATTCGGAAACTTGATGATTTTTCTCTTGCTCTCATAAGAATACAGATGATGGTTTATGCATTTTAAAATGATGTCTATAGAGTAAAAAGTACACTGGAAAATATTTATCTGTTAAAGACATACTATGCATTAACGAAAAATAACTTTAAATTGACTTTAAACAATCATTTTGATTGCGCATTCAACATTTCCATTCAACCATACATGCTTTTTTTCCATTTGAGTTTATTGCTTTTCAGCGCGATCCTTGTCCCACATGGTATTTCTCAACTCTCCTTGAGCACATAAAGTCAGCTAATCTCTAATGTGTGTCGTTTTTGTGTTGTCAGACACTAAATCCTGGCAATTAGTGATGAATAGGGGTGTGTAATCGCACCCTAAAAGGGTAATAACTTGTAAACAATTATCTATGTGCAACGATTAAGGTTAAAACAAAAGTTGTCTGTGTAGCAGAACCTTTATAAATGTATTTAACCGGGCAGTTTACCGTAATTTTTCTGTGGCACTATATAACACAGTTTATGCTGCCTTCAAACAAGTTGCTTTTTCTATAATATTTCTATATTTTATTTTTAACATAGTTAAGTTCACTGCCTAAAACTGTTATGTATAGAAAAGAAGCGTTGACAAGTAACCAGATTATATACATTTTGTCTCACCTGTAAATTCTTTCTTAGGATTAAAATACATATGATATATTTACCTTTTTTTTGCATCCCGCCCCCTCATTTAAAAAAGGGGGGTGTAAATCCTTTTTCAGCCTGAAAGTTGTTTCTCTTTTATTTTATTTTTTTAATCAAATGTGCCTTGAATTTTTCAGTGCAACTTTCAATGTATTTGTTCTTTCTTGAACCCTCTTTAAAGAAGGAAGGGGCTGAAAAAACGAGATCAGGAGCTGACTCCACGTACGTTCCAGTATAAACATGCGTTAACGGGTGACATTTAGAATGGCTGCCACTGTATGTGCTTCTGGGAAGTGGGATGAGACCCTCCTCAGACTTGCAGGCTGCAAACTGTAAATTCAGCAGTTCAAAGTTTGACATGTTCAAATGTCATCGGTTGAGCAGCACCCCCCCTGGCAGAGAGGCTGCACATCGATGTATCATAGCTGCAAGATCTTTTTCTTTTTTTTTTTTTAAGCACTTAATCTGAGTTATTGTATGTGTATGGATACATATCTTGCACCACGGTGTAGTCTTCAGTATATTCTCTAAAGGCTTGTTTGACAAAAGGTGGTCTCTTCCTGTGTCACACACTGCTGTATGGCATGGCATCAATACATGTCTTTTATCTTGTTCTAAACATACGGGGACTAAACCTAATTATACTGTATTGCATCAACACCTGAAAACAAAAGAGAACTTTCCACATTATGTCGCTGATATCTGATAAGTTACAAGCTCGTGAGGCCTGACGTGTGATTGAATCCAGCTGTTAAACATCTGTGTGGTCTGGTCTGTGGAGTGGGCCTGCAAGTATTGCTGAATTAAGCTGCTGACCTTTCATTAAATGCTTCATGACATGTCAAATTGCAGATGTCTCTCAAGAAACCTGTCAAATCTGTCTACATTTTCTATTTTTGGAGATATTTATTTATTATTTATTGTTGAATAAAGATTCCGTGACCATTTCACTCTTAAATTAGTCACCTCCCTATGTATGCTTCAGTGTCACACAAAAGAAAACGGCTTTTCTTTCACACAAATTAAAGATGGAGAACATCAGGAAATAGGCAGTCATGGCTTTAATAGTGCAAGTATAAAAATGGATTACATGTCATTGATCATTCAGTACAGCAGTGTAATCCTGAGATCAATACCTCTTGTGTCAGTTCAGTCGAGCTTTTTGGATCTAGCCCCTTTTGAAAATCCTCTTTGCGTCCACACCTTCGTAGTTGTAGCTCTGTTGGATATCAGTTATTAATTTTTTTTCATTCGACTAATAAAATTCCACATTGGAAGTCATTAACAATAAATTCATATACACATCCCCCCAAAAACAACTTTGAAGATTCCCAACTAAATAACATTTTTGTTTGTGAGATGACAATTAAATATGCTTTTATTCCATAATTTATGTATATGCAAATTAAGATAAGGCTCACCTGAACAAGTTCATCTCCCTCGAGAACTCTGGTTGTAATCAGTTGCTTTCCGTTGTCCTTTCTGGTGAACACCCCTTTTAGCACGTCGCCCTCCATAGTCCACGCGCCCTGTTCAGTGTTAAAAGTCTGAGTTAGGACATTTCCTGCAGAAGTCCAAGGAAGCACATCACCATTCAGATCCCTTCACACCCACTGGTGAAGGCGGCTCCACTCTGCTTGCTGCGGTTTTGCTCACCGTTAGTTCAGTTCCGTCCGCAAGGCTGTATTCAAAGGTGACCCCCAGGGTGAAATCTATGTCCACCGTGCGGAAATTGCTGCTCTCCTTGACTAGAAACTTGTCTCCAGTCTGTTCGATGGTTATCTTCAGGTTGTCGTGAGCCGCCAGCTTCCTCTTCACCATATTAATTCCTATCAACGGACCACACCAAATATATTCAATAGGCTCCCAACAATAACGGGAAGTTAGTCAGGATGAGACCACTTTTCGCACAAGTTGTTCCTTTGTTAGTTGGTAAGTATGCGCAAAGGCTAAATCAGAAACAAGTAGAACACGGTGTTTGACGACAAATTTGCTTAAATGTTCCGTTTATTTTACTTTTCAAAATGCATAAAACTGAAGAATATTTGTATACACAGACACACACATATGTATATCCAGATGGAACAAAGCCAAAATGAGCTGAGAAATGGCCTTGAAGTAAAACAGATTTGAGTATATCTTAAACTGGAACGGCAATATTCATTGAATCACCTGCATTTTATCACAACTTTATCAGTTACCTAATTAGCTTGAGATAAAAGGAAAACTGTCTTTGTTTTTTTGTTTTCAAGAAAACTGATTGATTGACTAAAAACGATTATTCCAACTCACCCATTTTCTCCATGAATTTCTCATAGTTATCGTTGCGATCAATCTTCCAGTTGCCGTTGAAAGTCATGGTGATTGTTATGGGGCGACCACTCTGAAGGAAGGAGCGTCCTTCTCAAAGGTTGCTGCTCCTTTTAAACCACACGCCCTCTTATCTCTTCCTCTATCTGAATGATGATGTGGCCGTTTTGAAGCCTATGTATATTAAGGTCAAAATCCATGCAGATTTTTTTTTCTTTTTCCTTCTTTTAAATAATGAATTAACTTCTTGTTGAACTTGTACTTGTTTGCACAGGGCGGAGGCATTATCTTAACCACACAACCAGTATTCAGTGCAGAGCTGCAGGAATTTCACATGTAGAGTTTGACACATAGTGTTGCAGCAAGCTTTTGTGTTTTTGTTGGTTTTTTTGGTTCCTATCCCTCAAGCTCAACAGAATTACAGAAGCATATGCATGTACTCTTTATTTACTTATTTTTTGTCCACAACTCCAACATTGACTTGGAATAAAGCTGATCTACAAAGCATCAACTTAATCCTGCAGCTGCTTTGCTAAAAAATGACAGATAGTTTGTTTCTTGTTGTACCTTTGACCGGCTGTGCCATCATTGATAAAGAAGACCTTTGACATTTGAAGTTAATATTACACCAACACTAGTTTAAACAGTGTTTGTATCAATTATCTCACAATGTTTGGAATGATGTCCAGGGGAATTTGTCTCAGTAAATAGAAGCTAACACTTGTAATGAAACTGTCTGGGGGGGGGGTCTGACTGGTATAACTGTGATGATGATGTAATTCTGCAAGTCGTTACATAAGGAATCACGCCAAATTTTATATTTATGTTAGGGAAAGAGGATAAAAATGTAAAACAAAAGAAAAAATGTCTCATTTTCCCCAATTGCCCCCAAACATTAGACATTTCCTTATGTCTAATAACACTGAATAAATCCCAATAAATCTGCCGGGCCGTATTGCAACAAGGTGATTTATTCATTTCAGCGATCACTCTTTGTTCTGTTGGTGTTATTTGCTCTCTTATCTGAGGTTCCTCTCACCTGATGTGACATGAGAAACCTTTGCCTGACATTCCAATGTTCACATCTTTTATCAGACAATCTACGAATCTGCAGAGACAGTTGAGCGTAAGACATAACCATGGCTCATCAATGCACATTTATGTCTTTTGCACATTTATGTGTGGTTTATCTGAGTTGTAGTATCAGTCATGCTGTCACATGAAATATGATAACAGGCTGTATAAAAGGAAAAGTATGTCACCAAATGCTCAAGCCCTGCTTTAATAAAACATTTTTTGTTGTCTGAGAAAGCTGTTGCATGTTTTCTTTGTTGCAAACATCCTTTATAGCTACAATAAGTTTGAACATAAGCATATGATGGAGACATGAGTTCTTGTCCTTGATTTCTGAGCATGAATATGGACAAAACTGTAGTTCACTGTTTTTAAATAATTATTTTACATATAAGTCAGTGAGAAATTGAATTTCCCTTTTTGTAATGTCTGTATTGTTTGCACGACTAGGATCTGAAACCATCTATTTACACACAGGTCGTAAAAGTTAATAAAGGTAATATCTTTTTTAAATTACACTTTGTTATCTATTTATTATGAATTGTGAGAAAGGAGAAGAGAGGAAAAAATTGTAAAACTTTTATCTCAGTGTCTGATGTCACTGTGTTGGGATCCAATAACAAGGTAATGTTTGTGATAACTTCTGGATTTCTTTGGTTAATTTTCACTAATTAGCCACATTAAAAACATGTATGCTTTGTCTCCGGGGTTATTATTTGAACAAATCTTTGTTGGGACTATATTTTTCCCTTAAAAATGTTCTGATTTAATTTTGAATTCTTTGTCCCAACAAATCAACCCCTGCTGGGCCCAAATCAGCAAGTTCGTTCCAAACCATAAAACTACAGCAACAGTGTTTCCAAGTGAGGTACGACTCTTTCCATGCTTTTCCTTTTCTAATTAGTTTTCATACATATCCTTGTGCTTGGTCACTTGATTTGGACCAATCTCTAGATCGACAGGGAGAGATTTCCTCCTGCAGCTGTGCACATGTAAAGGGAGTTGTTGTTTGAGCGTCTTGGATAATATCTCTGAAACGAGCACTAAAGTCTATGAGAGCGTCTTTGAATATACGACTACATCATCTCTCCGTGAGTTCATGGAAAATTTTGTCAACTTTCAAACACAAGTGAAATGTTTGTGATCATTCCTGTTCTGACCTTCATAGATAAAAGTCATTAAGAGTTCTGATGGTGTACAATCCTTTAGATCTGTTACTCATGAATCATACTTTCTCTGCCGGGACTCTTTGTTGATAAATTTCAAACATCTAGTATCATCATTTTTATCAAAAGTATATCATCACAATGTCAATGAAGATAATAACAATAAAAACAGTTTATAGTGCCAGAACATTGCGTAGCGAGGTGAATGATCATTCCACCCGGAAATAATTTCACCACTTACTTTGGCTCTGGAAGGAGCTTCTTTATGTCCAATACTAAAGTATCCCTGTGTAGTATTGACCATAGGATGCATTAAACAAATGTACAAGATTGTGTAAATCTGCTGGTTTCATTTTCATTTGCCGCGGATCCTCAAAAACCTTGTAAGTCAGATGTTGGCAGACTCCATGAATCAAGCTTAACTTTTCAATGATGCTCAGTCAGACACAGATCAGAGGATTCCCCCCTCCCCCCAAACACACACACACTATAGCTCTTAGTGATGCTTTTTAATTACTTTGTGAGGCAGAATGCACTGTCTTACAGATGGAGGCCACTGCCGTTGGGATTATTGTAGCTGCTGTGGAGTGTTCATGGTCTGGAGTGGTGTTTATGTAAGTGGTAAGCATGTACAATTTCCCTGCCGAACACTCACCAGAGCATCACACCACCTCAGCCAACTTGCCTTATGCCTATAGAGTAACTAACTTTCCTAATGACACTCACTCAATGAATGTGATGTGAAACAAACACAATTAAGCAGTCTAAGGCATCCTCTAGCTCTGTGAAGCTGGTCTGACAGATCACAGACCATTTTTATCTGACTTATCACAGAGTCTGGGGTGAGCCTTGGCCATCCATGGCCTTATCGCTGGTTCACAGGTTGTTCTTTCTTCCTCTGTTGTCAGTCTTTGATCTCTTATCATTAGTTAGAGCTCCGTAGGAAGAGATGAGTTTAGGGTGGAAAAAAGATAAATAGATTTATTATATATGGTCCCAGCAGTTAAGAGTCTAATTACAGTGGGCTGAGATCAAAATCAGGAGTACTTCACATGAGTAAAGAGTAGAAGTCTCAGAGCAGGAGAAAAAAGCTATTCAATTATGTATTAGTTTCTTTACTTCCTGTCTCCTTTTTGTTGTGCTTTCCTGGTGCATTCTTTCAAGTTTAATTCCACTTTTGTTTCTCACCTGGTCTTCAGTTTTCGATTGCCCCACCTGATCCTTTTTTTCCGGTACCTTCCTGGGCACAGATCCTCCAGGCTTCTCCTTTGTCAGCAGCAAAAGGCTGTATGTAGGTCGCGTTTTGTTCTCACAGAAGCATGCAGTCCTCTGTGTTTATTCTTGTCAGTCTGTTCTCAGTGAGCTCCTCACTCTTTGGTTGTTGTTTTTTACTGTAGTTTGTAGCTCTGATTGCTGCCTTGACAGCAGCCTGAGCTCAGCCTCCACTTAATTGAATCATAGACTTAATCGTGATGCACACAAAATGTTCGAGAAGTTTCTGATATACGGCTCTTGATTGCTGTAAGCTAAAGCCTGGTCATTTGTAGCAGCAGGCCACTCATGCTGGAGAAACTAAGAACCACACAACTGCAGTATTCTGAAAACTCACTAGAGGGAGTACTTCACAAAAAAACACTACTGACAGCAAGTCATTTTGTTGAAAGACACAAATGCTCCCGCATTTAATTCAAAGCTGGCTTTGACTTGTGTTTAAAGTTCAGCATTAATAGCAAAGCATGTTCTTCACAGAAAATATAGATTCCCACACCTCAACAGACGTTTTCAAGGGGTTAGTTGGTTTTATTTTTGGGGTGTTTCATTTTAATAACTTTAGTTGTCTAAGATTAAAAGAATAAATAAAAAGCAACATGAACAAAACAATAAATATGTCAATACTTAATGATCTCTTTACCATACAGTTGGACTAAAAATAGTACTCTAGTATTTTTTCGTAGCAGCACAAATAGTAGAGTAATGACGGCAGTGTGCATTAAATATATAAATTCAGTGCCTGAACATGCCTAAAGCTCAGTGACAGATTCTTGATTATTAAAATCGCATTATTAGTTAACATCTATTACAACTTTTTCACTTTTGGGGAAAGTACTTTCTGTGTCAAAGAGTGGATGAATATGCTGGTATAAAAATAGAAAATCAGCTTTAATATCTAAATGCTTATATTGAATTAGCAAAAGTGGGTTTCTTAGATGCAAATGTCATTTTGAGTCATGTGATCATTTTTCCTTTCAATAATGAATTAAATAAACTTTTACAAAAAATGACTGAGTCTTTTCAAACAAACTCTTATGGATTGTGCTGTATGATGTTGACTGCAAAAAAAGAAAAAGGCTCTCAATATAACAATAGGGAGTTACTTTTGGTTGTTATTCTCTCTACTATGGCAGCCTCTGATTACAGAAACACTTAAGAAATGTTTTGTTTTTCAAAATCCTTCGTAGTGGTCTCATATAGTTGTTGTATATAATACACTACCTCTAAAAAAAAAATCTAACATTACTGTACCAGCCTAACTATTCACAAAACACGATTATCAAAAATAGTGACGTCAGGACGGATCATGGGTGAACAGAAAGACAGCGGGAATTGGTACAGGTCTGGCTGCACATTGAAACAATAGTTTCTCTGTATATTAAAAAATAGCTATATGTTCAGGATAGTTTTTATAATTTCATAATTTCTTTTTCATCATCGCCTAAAAATGTTACGAGTAAGCGACAAACTACAGCGTTTGTTAAAGATGCTCAAGAGTGATCTAGTGTTGAGCCGTTAAGCTTTAACTGACTCAGTGCTGTTGACTTTCCTGGAGAGAAACCACACCTTCATCGGCTCCTTCTTTCCTTTCATGGTGACAGGACCGCGGTACTCCAGACGAAACTGAGGATCTGCATTCTCAGAGGACTGCAAACACCTGGAGTACGGTATCAAGAGCACAAAACATTACACAAGATGTTCTTTCCTTAACGGCACTCTGAAAAAGCAAATCCTTCCTTCGGAAGACTTTCTGGTTCAAATTCAAACAGGAATTCAGCCTCTCGTTGTCTTATAATTGCAGGTAAGGTTTGTCACTTTAAACAAAGTTGTCTGTAGCTCAGACATATCCTCTGTTTCATATTTCTGAGCTACACCGATGCTAAAAAAAGGCCTTAAATCCGACAGAATGCAGCTGACAAGAAAGGAGACGCTTTTTACCCACCTGTAAGTATATTCAGAGACATTTATTTTTCCCTTTTCCCCGGTCGTTTCAGTGCGACTTGTCAGGTTGACGGTGTTTCCAAAAAGGCAATATCTGGGCATCCTCTGGCCAATCACCCCGGTCACCACCTCACCAGTGTGGATACCAATTGTGATCTAGAAAGAAAATAGAAGAGCAATAGAAAATGTGACTGCTTCTTATTGAAAAGCAGCAAAACAAATAAGCCATAAATATCCCGACTACTTCCAAACTCCAAATGAAGAATGGATATCCTGAAGGTCCCCATCATTAAAGTAGACCTGAGACAATTTTAAAACAAAGAACTGGAAAATATTTTCTACTAAACACATAATTAGTATAAAACAGTCAGCAGCTTCTGCACATTTTTTCATAGTTTGTTCACACAAACTCTTGTGGCCATCATCTGAAAAGGTGCCACATTAAGTGGGTGGATACTAGCTTAACCTTGCCAGGAATCTCTCCAAGAATAAAATTTTATTATTTCTTCTTTTAGGTTTACAATAAACGTTTCCAAAAAAAATAGTTTGAGGCTATCTGAAGCCTGATATGTCTAAGTGAACTGAGAGGCACTTCAGTGCTTGTTGTCCACGCAGCATAAATATGCCGTGAGTGTCTGGGACAAATGAGAATCTATTTTTATTCACAAGATCGTGAGATGATTTGAGTATGTTTCTGCTACAATACCGGACTTCTCTTTTGCCAGTGCCATGTCCCAAAATAAACAACCTTTTGTTAGGCAAACGTGATTTTCCAAAGTTAATTTCAACAGTCATTGATACAATAACAATCCCCAAAGGTCAGCTACACAAAGGTTTGCTGGTTTTCATCCAACTTTTTATGCTTATTACTTCACTGTGGAAATATGTCCAGATGCGCAGATGATGAAATTATGCTAAATTTATCATGAAAAAGGAAAGCCAACAGAGCTTCAGAGAGTTGGTTGTGCCAAAATAGCAGATGCATTGCTAAAAGGCAGCAAAAATAATTAAATATGGGAAGGAAAACAGTCTGAAAATCGTGACTGCATGTGCCAAGATAGATAAACAGCATTACTAAAGAGGAACAATCCAACAGGGGAATAAAAGATATTTAAAGTGTACATCGGTGATCAAAAATGTGTTTCTACTGTATTAGCTGAAGAATTATGGCAAAAATAATTTCACTGCTTATGCTGTCTCTATAGATTAGAAAATATTTTTAATGAGCTACTACACTTTTTTAAATCATCCCACATATACACACACACACACACACATATATATATATATATATATATATATATATATATATATATATATATATATATAGTTTTCCATTTGTTCACATTTTGAGGGAGCAGATCTATCCTTTTTCTACTAAACTACAAAAGAAACATATCTAGAAGTTGCTTGTGAAACTTCACGTTATTCATCACAAACCTGCACTGGTTCATCATCCACTTTAACCTGTCCGGCGATCTCCATCATGTCCAGAGCGAGGTGGCAGATTGACTTGGCGTGGTGCGTGCACGGCTCCGGCAGGCCGCTCACTGTCATGTACTTATCACCGACTGTTTCCACCTGTATTTGAGACAGGAGTGGTTATTGTTCATGTAAATGCTATCATGGCCTGCAGTGTTCTGTTTCATTTCTGTTCCATGTGGAATAATCTGTTACCATTGTGCTACAAAGGGAGTTTTTCAATGCATGGTGAGGCCAAGAATAAACTGAAACACCCTGCGATAAACAGTTACACACTTACATCAGCTTTAAGACATTCAGGGCCTCTTCGAGCCCCGCTAAAACCCAAAGACCACCTAGCCATTAAGCTTGTAGAGTAAATATTACTTCTTTTGGTGACCCAGTGCCTGAAATGAATCCCCTGGAAGTGCTGAGGCCTGTTAGACTTCTCAAAGTGCATTCTTGTCTGAAAGCCTGGACCATAAATCTGCTGCATGATGCCTATAAAATTGCTGCAGTCGCTCTGTAAAACTATACTGTGTTTAGAAGTTAGTGCCACTCTGTTGGAAAAACTCAAGTCAGCTGATATAAATATTCTCACAGTTGTATGTCCATAATTGCATAACATAATTTTCCATACTGTTGCATAAAAACTGGAGAAGTGTCACACATGATGGTAGTTGAAAGCAGGATTTCTTTAAGGATTGTGTTCTAATCTTTTTAAACTTTGATCAATATCAGTTTACCCCAGAAATTCCTCCTCTTACTGAGCAGATATTACACAAAAACATGATAAACTATGACAGTAAAGGTCTTGCTTCCAACCTTGTATACATATGGGTTCTTCCGAGAGTCTGTCAGGATGTCAAAGCGTGTGTAAACATCATTTAGCAGGTTGACTATCTTGATGGCCCCCTCGGCTGAGGCGTGCTTGCTGCAGAAAGCGTTGAATCCAACAATGCCGCTAAATAAGATGGTAACGTTGTCATAGCGCTTTGCCGGGACCGGGCGTTTGTGTCTCAGCTCGTTGGCAACAGATGGTGGCAGAACAGAATAGAGCAATCTAAAAGGAGGACGACAAATGAGTCGTTAGAGTAAGAACGCAATTTTTGGTATGTTAGAGCAGCAGAGTAATGGGCTGAAGTCCATCACGGGGATGAGCATTTTATTTGTTCTCCCAACACCTTTTGGTCACTTCGCTGTGCAAGCTGCTCCCTGATGGGAGGGTGGTGTTTCTATGGCAACAGTTAGATCATGGCTGCCTTGTTAAAAGAAAAAATATCTCCCTCAATGCAACCTAAAATCCAGACACATGTCGCATACAGATTAAGAAGATTTTTTTTTAAACTCATTCGTAGAAACCAGTAAATCTGCCCAGTGGAAAATAATACATGTAGTCCCCCTTTTGATAAGGAACTCCTTATTGGAGGAATGCCCAAAAATAATTAACAGGAATAATCATGTCTAAAAGTTTCACTCTTCAGATATTGTCGCTCAACACTAACTGCAGGATACGGCGTCATGTTCCTGCTACCTGCAGAGAAGGGGTAATTACTGGACCGGTTCTGAGAGGAGGGATAAAAAGCATTAATACAGTGAAAGGGGGGGTTAAGCAGCACATTTTTTGCGGAAGAAAGAAATTATCTAAAAAAAACATCACCAGAGGGGTATATGCCCGAGCATAAATGGATGTTTGCATTGCATCCGACACGGCGGCAGTTTCTTAAAATATCTAGTGGAAAATTGTGAATTCCAATCGACGTTCAGAGCCTGAGGTAGTCTGACACCAGACAATGGTTAGAATAATAAAAGGTGGATCGACTGAGACCAATATTCTTTTTCTGTGAGACGAACGGCTAGCTGAGGCCGGCTTAACAAAGATCATTCTCCTCCTCTGTGATCTTTTCCAGCTGTAGCCTGCTGATGTTCCCAGTGGAAGGCACATCAACCCGTAAAACAAAATGTTAATACCATACTGCAAAGTCTGATTCTACGTGATCCTGTTGTCACTATTAGAACTGTATTGGGCTACGACTAGCATGTTTGTTTATTTATTTCCTGTTCACAGTCCCACCTTGAAAAGTTTTGCTGCCCAAGCCCTCGCTTTTTATCTTCCAACAAGATGGGCTAATGAACATCTGCGCCACTTGTTGTTACGGCGGTGTTGGCGCATAATGACTTTGAGGCTGACTCCTAATATAAAGAGAGATAATGACAGGACTGCCGCCTGCAATTATGGATAATTGCATACACAGTTTTTCTTAATGATATACTCCACTAAAAAGTTAGTAAACACTGATAGTTTTTAATATGCATGCAAAACATTTACTCTTTTGTTAGGCATAGATGTGAATCAGTTATTTAAGATCTTTGGATATTTTTCCAAATGTGATATGAACAGGGAAAGTATAATCAATTTTCATATAGTTTGATGAGATAACAGTTTTTAAAGCTTTTCTCTTAAGCTTCCTATCCTACCCTGCGTTTCTCTTTATTCGGAATAGGGCGAAAACTTCTTGTAGCAACTTGTCTTTCACACTAGAAAACAACACATCTCGGTGGGACTTGCTGTATGGAACTGCCGTATTGAAACTGGAGAATTTTAGAGTACACATAAAGAGCTGTGAGGCAGGCTGAAAAACATTGTTATTAGATATTACTGTTCTCTGAAAATGCAGGTAGCATTTACGCAAGAAGGACATAAAATGCCTAACTTCCATATTCCCTAACTAAAATCCATAAAGTGCACATGGGTTAAGAAAAAAATCAACAGCTTGGGCTTAAGATAAGATAGAAATTGTCAAACCTATCAGTCTTCTTCTTTTCATCCTCCAAAGCTCGAAGTGTGTGCTGGAGACGATCTGTCAAGATTTCCAGCTCTTGGGTAAGCTTGTACTCCTCACGAAACTGCTCGCCCAGTAGTACCAAGTCACGGGTGGCGTCATGCAGAGGGATGTCACTTAGGTATAGACCCCGCCGAGTTAGATCATCCAGGTTCATAACACTAACAACAAAAATAGAGAGAAGGTCGAGTATGAAGGAAAACAAGTGCAAATGTTTCCCCAATTTCAGCTCCTTCTCAAACGCTATGCTTTTCGAACATCCACTTATTAAGGATGGGTATAAATTAGACGAGAGCATAAAAGATGGAGGACCATCAGTGAAATGGCCAACCGGCTGAGCCTTGTGTCTGTATGTAAATGATCATTTTGCTGGGGGGGGGGGTCAGATAGTGCTCTGTACGACCCTTCTCTGGGAAGGTGAACGAGCACACTTCTGTGTTTTACACCATGTCAGCTCATTCCTGTCGAGCAGCAACCTTTCGTCAAAACACTTCAAAGCATGTTCAACAAGATCTCTTGACCTCTGCTCCCATGTATTCATTACAAATATCTGATTGTTCACACTGTGTAAGAGCCATAATGTGTTGAACGTAACCATAGCCTCAAAGGCTCTGTTGTGTTGTTTTCCTCTCCTGCCACTTCCCAACATCTCTTTCCCTCTGTTAATGAAACGCAAATAGGAAAATACATTCAATCTTTTCTGGTAAACTACTTGATTGCAACTGCAATGTTGAATATCAGTGCAATAAAGTTGAATATTTGGTTCAGTCCAACAAAAGACATAATCTAGCCATGGCAGCTGTCTCACTCTGTGTTTGATTGCTCTTAATCTTCTTTCTCAAGTACCCCAGTTTTATCAAATTTGCCACATGAGAACACAATACGAGACAAAATTCATTAAAAAAAGCAACTCCTAAATCCCAATATGGATTGAAGCTGAATTACATCAAAAGTTAGACAAGCGACATGTCCTTTTCACTTGTGTGAAAGGCCACGTGGAAGATTCAATAAACAGACCCAAGACAACACTACCGAGACAGGCGAGGAAAATAAGGTGAAGTGTGTGAACAAGAGACAGTAATAGGAAGAAAGCCAGAGCAGATTTCAATGCTGGCAAGGGCTCAGACAAACAGCATGACAGGCGGATCCAGAGTTCGCTTTACTGCTGCTGGTGGAAAGAAATAACTGATTAGCTCTTATTCTGGCTCACTCTGAAAAGTTGCCAATGTGCTGGTTATTAATCATGAAGGCAGTAAATCAGAGGAGGATAAGTTGTAACTGATTATTGCAATTTAATAAATAACAAGATTATGTTTATAATCTATTCATTAACTCAAGAACTGGGGCATTCAGGTCAGTACAAAAATAGAATGTTTGTTCATGTTATTCATCACAGGTTGGAAATGATAACCTTCCTGTTATTATTGAACAGATTAGGTGAGCAGTTCTCTGCTCACTTAATCTAAGTTAATGTAAATATTTCATGTTTTCATTTTTGCCCAGGTGACCCATCAAGAGAGTACCCCACTACTCGTCCATTTGAAGCTGGGATAAGCCCCAGCCCCTCTGTGACCCTAATTTGGATTATGCAGCAACAGCAAATAGACATTGTATCTTTTTAAATGTATTTTTCATCACACTTTCTATCAACGAAATTGATATTACTGAATGACATTTTCATTTTTTCTGTTGAAGTGTATTGTGTCGTGCTTACCTTAACACTACATAAATAGTTAAACTACACAACTTCAGAGCACTTTCATCTATTTTTCATGTAAATCCAAAAATAGTGCATAGCAGTTGCTCCAATTTGAACAATAGAGATATAGAGCAATAATACAAAAACTAAATTAAAAAATCATATAAAAGAAATCCATGTCTTGGAATCTTAAATTTCGAAAGCATCATCTTTGTCTGAGATGACGTGTAAAGGCGGGTATGGGTGTACACGTGCAGCCTGAGCTTCTGTCACGGCACATGTGCAGTGAGCTTACCTGGGTGAGCAAAGAAAAAGGATGTTCTCTGCCTCTGGCAAATAAATCATCTGCCCTTTCAGTCTTAGACAGCTGATCTCCACCCCCGTCAGCTCATCCTCATTCTCTACAGTCTCCACATTAAGCAGTCCCTCCTGTCAGGATTACATCACATTTATGAATATTTCATTGCGCTGTGTGTTCTTTTCCAAATCTGCTTCAAAACTGGAGGCCCGTTCGCTTCACTCTGCCTTTTTCAATCCTTGCTCTCCTTTTGGGGGAAAATTAGGTAATTTCTCTGGAGTGTGTGAAAATGATTGCCTCTCTTCTATCTCAGGCTAACACAGTGCTACTGCTTTGGGAGTGTGTTCCTTCACATTAATCCACTGTGTGTGAATGTGGCTGCAAGGATGGTGAGCAGTTTTAGCCATCTTTGCATGAGAACATATGTGTTAAGCAATTACTCATTCTTTCTGCTCTCTTCACGCAAATTTGCAAAATCTTTTGACCATGTCAAGTCTTAGTTTTTATGATCAAGTCCTGCTATTGCTCTGGACATTGACACACTTTGTGTGAACAGCTTTCTAAAACTTTTATATTCAAAATTCTTCAGAAATAATTCTATTCTTTAGATGCCTTCTGCTCTTCAAATGTCAAATATTTAATGCGCATTAACGGTGTCAATGAAATCCAAAGTCCAATTTCATGCCACTTCTAAAAATATCTGTGAACTCATCAATAATTAAGGAGACCTATTATCCTCATCTATAATTTTAATCTGGGATTTCACTGGAATGCCTGAATTATTTATTGCTCAAATTATTTTTTTTGGTCTTTTTTGGTCTTTTATGTCGACTCCGAGCTGATCCGCTACGTAAAACTAAGTGTTTTAGCTTGTTTCCTGACTGATGGCTTTTAAAACAACCTTTGCGTAAAAGTTAACTGTTCTTACTTATTACATTATAGCTTTACTCTACTTATCATTCTTTATTAGAAACAATACTATATGTTTGAGCCTGAATCCTATTTGAAATTACAAACCTCTATAATAATAATAACCTGGTTGATCACAAAGAATATATACAGTATCCTGAGAGGGTGACAATATGTACTTTAATGCTTGAGACTGTAACCATATGCCGTTGGGAATTATTCAAGTTTTGATAAGTTTACACAAAAAGGATTAATGTATTTCACCAAAAATACTGACAAATACATAGAACACGTGTACCTTGCTCCGCAGAACGAAGACAGTGTTGATGTGGGAAAGGATGCCATGAAAACTGAAGTCAATATGAGGACGGACCAAAGAAAACACTGAAGGCAGGATACAAGTACCAGGCTGGAGCTGGGGAACAAAACATCTCATTTAGATAACATTGATCATTTGTCATGAAACCGTAGAATTACAAGAAGATTTTAAGAAATCTGAAATGAATTGGTAATCTTATAAACTTGGGTATCTTGATGTTAAACAAGCTTTTAAATCAATGGATGTGAACACACACACACACACCTGTGGCAGGACTCTGTAAATGGCGTTCCCACACTGTGTGAGCATGAGGTCCTTGTCGAACATGAGGTGAAATGGGAAGGCCTTGCAGAACGTGTAGGGGCTGATCCGGGTCTCCTGCGTGCCGTTCTCCTCAAAGCCATCGAGATCCTCGTAAAAGGCCTCCTCCTCCGACTCCTTCTCCTCAATCAGAAACTTGATGTGATCGCACTCTTCGCTTTTTGGTTGTATCACCTGCATGAGTGGAATTGAAACAATTGATAGAATATCAGTAATGCCACTTAAACAGCCCAATTATGAAATATCTCAGCCTTCCAAATGAATGCCTTTAATATCATAATGATAACTAATATTTTAACATATTTCCACTCTCCTGTCCACAATATTGAATTAGGAGGGGTAATAAATGACATTCTGTGGACTTATGGGCATAAGGTATGCTGACGTCAAGCTGCTGTCTCTGCACCCTGTTGCCACAGCAACAGTGGCTAATATTTCCAGAAAATTGGGTGTCACATTTGGAGCGTCTGCCATTTTCTGTTCTTTCACTCCACGCATAACTGTTGAAAAAATATTATCCTGTCTCTGCAACATGATCGGATTTGGGAGAAAATGTCACTGATGAAATGAAGAAAAAAATCCATCCAAACACAGAAGACCGCAAAGGGAAATAACCTGCTGCAGTTATCAGTGTGGATTACAGTCTGTGATTTGTAGGCTGAAGATTAAAATACCAACACAGCTTGATAATGACATTAACTGTGACGAGAACTTTTTTTTCTGGTTTTGTCAAAATCCAATTAGCCTAGTTGGGTTAATTCTATGCTAAACACGCAGTCTATGTCTAATTCCCGTTTATTCACAGCCAGAAAAGTTTAACTTTAAGCAAGGAGCAATAATAAAAGGCACTGAAAAGCTGTCAGCCTCTAGCTAGAGACTATAACTTAGATCTAAAAATATCCCCTGACTCACGGGCATTAACCAAAAACTGAGCAGCAGTCAGTGCGTCGTGTACATTTCTGTTGTTTAGTCTTCGCACGATAACCTCTTCAACTGTATCATGAAAAATGAAGTGTCATGTTTTGGTTCAAAGCATTGCCAATAATGTAATGACTCAGTGAGGGGAGTGCCCTAAAGTGGAGAGGAGCTGAGAAAAACTTTAGCGTGTCTTCATTCATCCTCAGAGGCAGTCTGCACCATTAGCGCTGTGGGTCTCGCGCTTCGCATGAAGCGAGCAAAAAACAACGCCGCTGACCTTCATCTCGATCTCTGTTCCGTGGATTTGTTGCGCGACAGTTTTAATGATGCCAATCACAATATCTTGCAAGCCTTCTCTCTCTGAGTAGTAGTGAAGAATCAGATTGTTTCCTTTCTCCGCATCGGTGCAGCGGAATGAGGGAGCCCTCATCCCGGGGTAAATGGTACCCAGGTGGTCATGTAGAGCATCCAGATTCTGGAAAATGCAGATGAAAATTAATAATGCAGCAACTAGTCACAACACAGTTATCTAACACCTGGCTGAGGTTTTACATTTGACATGATAACGCCACACGTAACACAATATGAAGAAAAGAGGTAGAAAAGGAGGGCTAACAAATTTACAGCAGCAGAGGAAGGAGAGTTCAGACTTTCAAGGTTGCAGATCAAAGGGATGATTTTTTTTCTCCCCCAAAACCTAAACCTAAAAGGATTTTTAAGAGTAGAATGTATGATAGTAAAATTTCTCATTAAAAGACACAAGATGAGGAAAACAAAGAGCAGTGTAGACTTTTCCAACTGACTTTGTAAACTCTAATGTGACGTAGACAACATTAAATAGCTCCTGCTGTATCATGATTCACCAACTGTAGTACTACACAAGGGATATCAGAAAAAGCCCTGGACAAGGGAAGTAAAATGAAAAAAAGAATTCTCAAAGCATGAGGTGAAATGGGAAGGCCTCGTGTTGTGTTGTGATGATGACAGGCTGAGAAACAAATATGTCAACACTGCATTGAGCAAGGTTTCTTTTAAAAAAAGGAAAGAAAAAAAGCTTGCCAAAAACCATAAAGTTATCATGAAGCTAAATAACTTACAACTATAGTTTTTTTTTTTACATTTTTCAATTTTTTATGTCTGAATGGACTCTTTTTCACTATGAAGGAGCATATTCCCTGTGAGGGGCAGCATTGTTTTGCTTTGCTTAGCAAGATCAACTAAAAGGGATTTTTGCTGAAACTTCAGCTGAGGCCTTCCTGTGGGGGTGTGCATTTTCCCCCTGGGGTTTTCTATGAGCACGCTGTTTTCTTCCCAGTGTCTAAGGACCTTAGTTTAACTGATGGTTCAAAATTGGTTGTCGCTTTCTATGTTAGTTCATGTCAGCACAATTAAACATTCACCCGCTGACCTATATACATTAACCATCCAATTGACATCCTGGATCCCCCCACTTCCAAAACCACAACATACATCAAGACACATTCCTAACTCAGTAAATTCCAGTGTTTTTTAAACATTACACCTCCAGCGTGTAAGCAAGGCCTACTGTTATTGGGATCGAAATCTGAGAGCTACACTTCATCAGTGAGCAAACTGACCTTTATGAAAATGTCCGCTACATGCTGTGAGGAAAACGGTTTACCTGCAAGAATTCCCGAACATTTGAACCCAGCACACGCAATATGGTGTCATATCCTGACTCCTGGCAAAATTCAAAAAACATCTTCCCGAACATCTGCAAGATGTCTCCTGCATCAATCTCTGAAATACAAAGAGCACATCTTCATTTGATGCAGGAAACTATTTGCCATGTTTTCATTGAAAGTTTTCATCTTTAGTGACATAGAGAAAGGCACTTTAACTTACTGAGAACTTTACTCGCAGCTGCGACGAGATCATATGTCTTGGCATCTTCGTAGATGATCCGAACAAGGAACTGACCCTCGATGTCCAGCTGAGCCTCCCTCCTGAAAACAAAAGAATGCCATGACGCATAATGGACGCTAAATGTCCCGGCAGCTGTAAACAGCCGTTGTGGGCGACTTGCTCTGGCAAACGGTTCGCAACACGCTGCTAGTCGACGTGAATCAAGATCTGTGTTGCCTTAAATCACACTGGCACAAAAAGATTTCCATAATACTTTAAAAAGACTCTGTGTTGTAATAACTGCTTCATTACATGGAGATGATCAGATTTAGAGTGAATCACTCATCTTCCATTGGCCCATCCAGCATGAACAACATGGTCAGCAATTACAATGACTTTCAGATTGGTAGTTCGTAATTAAGAAAACAAGAAGTAATTTAGGAGCCCAAGCAGCAACCTCAGTTTTGCCTGAATGTACTGCAGCTGAACAAACACACCGTCCCTTTGTAATGCTTTGAAAAGAAAATAAGAATTCAATCTTGAATTACTTAGTTCATGAAAACCTCAAAAGTGCACGATACCAAACTTGACTAATTGAGCATTAAATAGCAGCGAGTTGCATTTGGGTTTTTTAGGTCACAAGAGAATGACCGCTTCGAAAACATTTACACAAGGCAGCTGCTGCTTGTCTCTTTTCTTTTCTTTTCCTTTTTTTTGGGGGGGGGGTTGGGTCAAGTTGAGGGCAGTTAGCATTACAAATGACAAATAAACTCAGTTTGAGCCAAATATTTCCACATGCTGAAAAACATTAACATTATCATAACGAGTGGAATCCTGAAGGATAAACACACAGAGACTATTTGATAAAATCTCCCTCTCTCTGCATGACAAAAACTCAACTGGTTTCTGAAATGAAGATGATGTACACACTTACAGTACTGGGCACATTCGAGATCCCACTCAACTGCTGCACCTTATTTGGAATGTGAGAATGGGGCTTAGTGGCTAAGCTCTGATGACATGGAGGTCACATCACATTTTTGTCTCTTTTTGTGTTTTCAGATCCACAGTATTTAAAGCACACCAACTTAGATCTAGAACCGTTTCCCTCATAACCCAGCCACAAAACCCACAAAAACTGTATTTTAGAACTTTACAGAGTCCACTAAAAGTCATGTAACATTAATTCAGGATTAACTAACCATTTCTAGACACTGATAAGAGCAAAAATATAGACATTTAAAGCTATGTGGTCAAAACAGGGCCAAGGCACAAAATGAAACAGTACCATCATAAAACAGACAAAAAAGTATAATCAAATGCTTTGTGAGTTTGAGTACACTTGGCCGATCTTTGATCGTGTGGAACTGCTACTTCTACTTGAGTAGAGACCTCTGGGGATTCTTTATTTACTTTAGCTTAATAGGACTGGGATAGTTCACATTCACAGACATGAATGTGTCCCTGTCTGCTCAACAGAATACCACTGCGTTCAATTTGAGTTCAAGTGAAATTGCTGCGGGCAGATTTTTTGTTTGTTTGGTAGGTTGTTTTGTTATTACCATTTCACCAGCTGAATAAATGTTTCAGTTTGAGACAGAGGAAAATCAAGTTGAATCATTCCAGCAGGGGCACATCTCAGTTCCTGCTGGAAAACACTGGCTGCTGCTGGCTAGGCAGCAGGCCTATCTTGTATCCTTGCTGGTGACAGACTGGCCACACTGTAACCCACAAAACCAACACATCCAGAAACTCACTTGATGTCTTCCCATACTTCCGGGCCGTAATTCCTCAATACGAGCAGCTCCAGGGCGTGATTCACAAAACCATACTGTACAAAAAAGCAGGACAGACGTGAATATTATGGCTTCATCCAATTAATTTCCCACAAATGTTTTGTTCCATTCGCGTCGTCATATACGATATTAGTAGCCTTTAAAATACACGCATATTGTGTCAAGCTATCAAATAACACTGGTTAAACGAGGAAATTATTGTGTAACCGACACATAGTGGTCTCAGGAAATGTCCAACGCGCCGCAGAATATAATCCACCGAGCCCAATAAACTCTATTTGGTCAACATTCAAAGTTAACAAAAACCATTAAGACTCTATAATAAATACCTACCATAGTGACCGCTGCGTTGCTTCTCTGTTTTTTCAGAAAAAAATCGCTGAATCAAACAAAACCTTCATCGTTTGCTGCAGATGCTGAGTGTCTCGGCGTCCATCCCCACAAATTTCACCAGCACGTGATCGACAGCAGGTCTGTCCAATAGCAGAGCGGGAAGACTGTTACGCAAGCCGATCATAACCAATCAGAACGACGCTACAGAAGTCCAAGTGATGCTGGTCAACCTGTGATTTCCACTGATGTAGCTCCTACTAACAGCGCGTGTGTTGACAACAGTGTTATTCTGACATGGAGAACATTAGGCACACTCCAAATGTGTCCTCTAAAAGAAACAAAAAAACTCACCCTGTTGTTAGCTGTCTGTCTTAAACAAATTTCTAGAGTTTATTGACAATGGATAGAATATTGTTGCTTTATAAAAGTAGAGTCTATCAATTGTAACATTAACTTACTTCATATTAGCTGTTAAATTAGGGGAAATAAGCATTTTTTAGCTATTAAAAGTACATGCATTACAGTCTTTAAAGCCATAATATATTCAGAGTGCTTTCAGTTACATAAAGGTTGTTACCTTCATCATCCCAAACTTGTTTTGCAGCATGACAATGACCGTGACATATTTCAGGTCATAAAGAGCTAACTACAGCAAAAAGTAAGATTGAACTGCTGACAGCATCCCCATCTGAAATATGCCCAGTACCATCTGATTGCAATTCTAAAATGTTTAATACTATAATGAAATTTAGTTTAGGTGCTACTGGATTGTTTATTCCTGTTGCGCAATCTTCTGACTTTCATTTTTCTATAGAAATATCCAAGATACTATTTACAATATTTGTGATATATTAAAAGTACAACTAAATGTATTATATTTACATCTTAATCATAACAGCATATGTGTATAAAGTAGTACACAATGTCATTTAAAAAGCTCAGACTAATGGTAAAAGAATCTCACGTTTAGAAGAGGGCCTTGAATGAGTAGATTTATTATGATAATCTATATGTACTGCACAAGTCAGTCATTTTCTGTAAGCCTGTTAATTACTATATTTATTGCACATTGATTACATTACAGTAATGATTAAAACACATCATTATGAGTGATTGTAAAGCATCCAATGTATTCTTGCTGTATCACATTTTCTCTATATAAAGAAGGGGTGCTGGGAAAGTCTTTGAATAACATAGATGTACAGAAAGAAAAAAAACATACATAGCATTTTAGCAGAGTTATCAAGGTACATTTTATATGTATATACATATGTTGTTGTATCATATACATATTGTTGTATATATATCTTAAACACATAGAAACATTTAATTTGTTGGTAAATCTGCCTGTGCAGTTTCCTTAAGGCACCCAAATGATATCTGCTTAGCATTGATGAACTCGATTTGAAATCGAAAAATGTGTGTTTTTTTCCACTCTATTTCATTTTCTTTATTATTCATCATGACATTCTCACTCAAGTCACAGCACCAGCAAAGTTTCAACATGATTCATGTCGCTTTAGCAGGTGTCTACCCTGGGTAGATATGGATAGCAATTAAGAAATTAATAGTCAGATAAGTGGGAAAAATCACTGTTTGGTCACATTGCCTCCAAAAAGATGTTTTTTATATGTGTATATCTTGCAAAGTAAGACGAAATATTCACTGGTTTTGAAAAATATTTTGCCTCTTTGTTTGGCCATATTCACCGTAAGTTTTTCACACCTCTAGATGTTGAAAATAAAAACAGTCCAAAAGTCTTTCATTAACAGTTTATATTTCTGGTAGAAGTGAGAAATTAAAGCTGTTTTTTTCCTTTTTTTTTTTTAGAAGATATCAAAATGTAGAGATGACTCATTCTGGAAGAAAGATGAACTGAGTTTCTCTCTACTACAACTGCACACACACAGAATTGTACAGAGACAATATGTTTGACAACAATCTGACAGTTTTAAATTTCCAGCTGTCACAATGCAGCAAGTGTTTGACTGGACAACATCAAAAATTAAACAACTCAACAAAATGTTAGAAGGTAGTTGCACTTGTTCACTTGATGAATTTTCCCCCATTTTTTTTTTTTTTTGAGGGGGGGTTGCAGCGGTTTGGCTTTATTTCTTAGACAGTTTAGGAGCTTTGAAGGCTGCGTCCAAAAAGTAACAAACACCAGGGATGTCCTCTGGGAAGTTGGCCGGAAGCTCCTGTCTGCTCCTGGGAACAAAGACAAACTCTGGGCGATCCTTCAGCAATCTGGGACAAAGAGCACACAAATAAAACATGAATCTAAAAACATTGTAGCAGATTATTTGACACAAGAGGAAACACAGTTCTCCTCTAAAAGTTAAGATTCCTGTCAAGAGCGCTTCTACTGTCTTTCTTTTATATATCAATGCACAGCCTCTTGTCGAGCCAAATTACACTTTATACACTTAATATAAGCGGTTAATAAACTTCTCTTGAGTTTTCAGGTAAAATAGCATCTATTGGGAGAGCTGTGAAGAGTTTCTGTAATAATAGAGGACAACAATCACTTGCAGCGTGTCCTCACCTGTGGGTTGTAGGGCTGATGTTGATTCTCCGTGGCTGACTGCATGACTCAAACTTGTTTGCCAATGTAACATTGTTCCCAAAAAGGCAGTAGCGGGGCATCTTTACCCCAACTACTCCAGCCAGCACCGAACCACTGTGGAGGCCTATACGCATCTGCGAAATGAAAGAAAAGGTTATATCCCACTCAATCTATGGTTTTTTGGGGTTGTGTGTTTACATGAAATGCCACTTAAATATGCTCAAGCTTGAGACAAGTGTTATGCACCTGTGTTTTCATGCTTTTATGCTGTGCAGGAACAACCGTCACAAGGAAAATTCAAACAAACTCTAATGGAATTAAGAGTAATTCTTACACAGAGTTTATTATTTGACAGTTATTGTTTGAGGACAGATGGAACAGGTTTGTTAGATCCAAAGGATGGACATGGCCATTTTTGCCTGGCAACTGTAAACGTTATCATCCATTTTAACTTGCATGAAATAATTTCATGGACATTATGTCCTCTACTAATTCAGTGATGCTGGGATCAAGACTCTTGAGAAGCATAATGAAAATCTAAATGTTTGGGATTGAGTTTAGCAGAGGTTTGAAGCCGGTGACGGTTAGATGTCTCACAACTAGCATAGTACAGTATTGTTGATAAGCATATCAACAGCTAAAGTTTGTATCTTTTGTATAGAAGTCTGTATCTGGGAAGGACACAGGCATAAGCAAGGAGAACACTGAAACCGCACAAGGAAAGGTCGATTCAATTCAGGAACCATCATACTGTACGACAAAGCTTACTACCACACCAGTCGTCTTAACCATGTGAAGATATTGTCCCGACCAAACCAGGAAGTGACAAGGGTAAATACAAAGAGTTGTAAAAAGGATGCATTTGAGCTGACACTGGGGAGAGGCAGGATACCACGTGAACAGGACCTTTGTGACACCACTAAGTGAGTCACAAACATGGATACTTTTTAGGAATCACTAACCGAACACACATGCATATCTCTGGACAGTTAAAGTGAGAACCACAGAGACACAGGGAGAACAAAAACACCCAATCTGTCTGGTGTGTTTAATACCAAAAGGCCCTTGCCTTTTTGTGGTAAATTAGCTCCATACAAACCAAACTGAACTGGATTTAATTGACTTTAAGTGAACGAGTGGTCATATGTGAAATGTTGGGGATCATATTGTGTAAAATAACAGAAAAAGATCCCATTGTTGGATTAATGCAGTTTTAATTTGGTGTTACATGTTCTTGTTATATAAAGGGAAAACTTGGGGAAAATTCTAGTTTAATGACTTGCGTACTTTTGCTTGAATCATGATATAACTGTCTCAGTCCAAGATGGACCGATCTGTTTGCAGAGGTCTTGTCATGGCATGTCTTGCAATCTGCTTTCCCTCAGTGAATGCGACATAACAGAAATAATGAGTTTCTAAGTCTGAGACATTTCTGCTCATGGAAACACTTGCACTGTCGGAACTTACATAATCGGACTAAATAAGGAGTGCTCTAGTGATTAATTCTTGACCCTCACCTGTATCGGTTCTCCAGTTGGTGTCATAACTTCATCTGAAAGCTCAATCATCTTTAAAGCCATGAGAGCTATTTGGACAGCGTGAGTCTCGCTCTCCTTGTGCAAACCACCAGCCACACAGTAAGCATCACCGATAGTCTCCACCTGAACAGAATGAAGGATCATTAACGTGATTTTTAAACTGCCAATCAAGACAGAATAAAAGCTATCTATGATTTTATTCTGGCCTGTCTCCCCCACCCACAGTCGAGGTTTCCTGGGAGCAGAAAGTGTCATTTTATGTCCCATGATTTTTTTTCACCAGGAACCCTTAAATCAAGTGTTGAAAGTTAAATGACATGATAAGACAATGAGGTTTATACAGAATGATAAATGTCAAGTGGACATTAATCAAAAATCTCTTTTACGATCTCATCTATTTGTTCAGTGAAAGACAAAGAGTAAAATATGCCAAATAGCAACATTTTCAACTGGAATGGAGTTTGGTCCTTAGGCATTTCTAAAACCGCTTTACTTGTTTACATTGAGACTACAGAGCACTAAACTATACGGCCGAGACAAAGTGAAACTATTTTTAGGTGAATATATGAGGAGTGGAAACACAGTCCTTAAAAAACCTCTGACTTCCTAGCGTTTACGAGACATTCGTCAAGCATGTGTCTCTTTTTGTAATGATTCTGTGACACTTTGATTACATTATCCAACCTCCCTGCAGATTAGCAGCCTTTGGCAGTTACAAGAACAGTTGGTTGAGTTACCACGTAATTGTTATTGTATTATTATTGTAGAGAGATGAAAA